CCATGCGCGTGAGCCTGAAGATCCCCTAGTAGCCAGGAAAGAGAGAAAAGGAAAAAGGGCGGCGACGACCTCTTCATTCTTATCTATCTGTCCTGCAGGGAAAAAAAAAAAAAAAAAAAAAAAAAAAAAAAAAAAAAAAAAGAATATTCTAACAAACATCCCCCCAATTTATATAGAAAACCTCCCCAACTCAGGCAGCTTCGAATTCACCCCCCCCGCCGACATCCCCACCGCCTCTACCTACTACCTCCAAATCATGGACGATGATCATCCCGAAAACACCAACTACAGCCCCATGTTCTCCATCGGCGGAACCACCGGCACTGGCACTGCCCTGACCCCAATCAGCACAACTGCCACTGAAATCCGCACCACAGACACCTCCGACTCCTCCAGCGCCACGACCACCACCGCCACGACGGACTCGGCCAGCACCACCATGACCACCTCCGCCTCCACCACCACCAGCAGCTCCAGCAGCTCATCCGCCTCCTCCTCATCCACCCCGTCGCCGACCGGCGATGCCACCAACGCCCCAGACCCGAACAGCGCCATGTCCATCGCCCGCCCTGGCTTTATGCTCTCTGCTGTCCTGGCGCTGATGTCTTTCCTGTAAACTATCTTTCTTTTCTTTCCTTTTTCTTTCTTAATAGTTACAAACCCTTTTATTTATTAAAATTTAAATTCAACTATTCCCCCCCCCCCCCCCATATTCCCATATCATTTGACGGAGTGGGTGAGAGGCGAGGGGTTTTCCACCGTCTCAATCCACTTTCCAAATGCCATTACAATTCCTTCGATTCAATTCCATATTCCATGGCGGTTCTCCTTTTTTTCTCAGCATGAACGCATCTGTGACTTTTGAAAGTGTTGTGTCTATTACATTAATCATCCAGTATTCTTGTTTCGTCAGTAGTCCTCTCAATAATATTTTCATTCGCCTTCTGCATCGCTGCTTGCATTTTCAATTGTGAAGTGTTTATATAAATTTAAAAATCTTTTTTTTTTTTTTTTTTTTTTTTTTTTTTTTTTTTTTTTTTTTTTTTTTTTTTTACCCCCCTCCCCTTTTGTATGTTATCCGTTATATAGTTACCTAGGTACATGTACGTACATGTACATGTACACGTGCGCGCGTCCTGTATTGGCCGTTGGGAGGGAGGAAAGGCGCCTATACTCTTACAGCGTGTATACTCCGTAGTCAGGGTAGTTAGTTAGTTAGTTTACTGTGTATAGGACAATACTGAAGTTCTTGATGGCTGGAAGCGAGTATGTGGCCCCGAGACAAGAAGGGTGCGCAGGGGGGGGTAGATATAGGTAGGTAGGTAGGTACGGGTGGGTACATAGATGGGTTGCTCTGGGTTCCCCGGTGTTGTTGGGTGAACCTCTCCAATGCTCAATCGTTATTTAGCAGCTGCTATATATGCGCGTTCTGGTCGCCTGGTCTGGTCTGGACAAAATGGGAACTGGAAAAAGAAAGAGCGGCAGGCATGAAGAAAACTTGAGGAACGAACGACATGGTAAAAATTACCCCAAAACACCCATATCACCGCACTCAAATCTACGAACGGTATCAATCAAACCACCACACAACCACCCCATCTAACTCCCCTTCGCTTCCCCCTTCTTCTTCACCCCCCCACCAGCCCTAAACGCCGCCGCACGCCGGGTACTCCTCGTCTTGGGCTTCCCAGCCCGCCCCTTGGCTCCACGACTCTTAGTCTTCACCTTAAACCCACCCGGCCCCTTATCCGGCCTCGCCCGGAAACCCTCAAAGACAAACGCGCCAGACCCCTTCCCACCATCACCATCACCACCACCACCACCACCACCATCACCGCCACCGCCACCGCCACCATGACCATTGGAGCCCGTCCCAGCCTTCCCCAACAGCCCCTCCGCACGGCCCTGGAAGCTCGCCTGCCGATCCCCGCCCCTGCGCACGCCCAGCGCAGTCTTGTTCGCATTCCCGCTGTCCCGCTTCCTACCATTGCCACGCCCCCTATCCTTGGCGCTCTTCAGCACCCGCTTCGCGCGCGTGACGCGTAGTCTGCGCGGCAGCAGCGGTGGGAATTTCTGCCCGTCCAGCAACAGCGCGGCCTCCACGGCATTCTCGTCGCGGAATTGGACGTAGGCGATCCCCTTGCCGATACGTGTGGCTGGGTCGCGCACGACGCGCACGGATTCGACGGGGCCTAGGGCCGCTGGGCTGGTATTATTGCTCCTGTCGCCATTGTTATTGGAAGGCGCGGGCGTGGACGTGGATGGCTGCGCGGCGACGGTGCTGGCGCGCGCATGCTCGTTGAACGTGCGCCAGAGGCCCTCCTCCACGTCGGCGCGGGGGGTATTCTTCTTTTTCTTCTTTTTCTTCTCCTCCTCCTGTTGTTGTTGTTGTTGTTGTTGTTGCTCCGCGTTGTCGTCGGAGGGTGTTTCCTCGTCGACGAAGCCTAGGTTCCCGACGAAGATGCAGCGCTTGTAATCGACGGGCGCCGGGTGGGCGACGCTGTCGACGCGCAGATGCCTGTCGAGGATGACGCTGCCGTTTAGAGCCTGGGGTGCTCGTCGTGCGGCTGCGGTGGTGGTGTAGACTACGTATGCGTTTGTGCTGCGGGTGGTGGAGTCCATGAGCTCGCGCTTGGCGTATGCAGCGCGTTTGGGCATTGATCGGGTGGCGAAGGCGGTAGAGCGGAAGCGGATTGATTCGATTTTATGGGGAGTGGCAGATTCGGGGAGGGAAGGGATGAAGGAAGAGAGGTGTCTGAGGAGGGTTTTCTTTGCGGATTTGGATTTGATGGCTTCTGTGGAGACGTTGGAGAGGAAGACGGTGCGGGCGGATTTGTCGAGGAGGGCGGCGTCGGGGTTGTTGGAAAGGGATTCGTGTAAGGGAGGAGGGCTGGCTATGCTGTCTTCGTTCCCCTCGTCGTTGCCTTCGGAGTCTGAAGAGTCGCTCTCCCTCCCGACGGTTTCAACAACTTTCCGCCGCTTTGCCTTCTCGCTTCGTCGTTTCTCGTCCTCCTTGGCATCCTCTTTCGCCATGCGCCGCATGTAGGATTCCTCTAAGTCATCTGCGCCGCCTCGTTTTCTTTTCCGTCCCTTTTCCGGAGTCAATGATTCATCATCAACATCCTCCATCACCTCATCACTGCTCTCCGATAGAGCTTCCTCGGCCGCCTCGTCCTCATCAGATGAGGAAGATTGCATGGCATTTCGTTCGCTGGTCCTCCCCTTGGGCTTTGACGTCGCCGCCAGATTAGCACTAGTGAATTGCGGAGCTTTCACAGGTCCAGCCTATGGTACAGAAAAGTTCGCAACCAAGTTAGTTAAACCTCTTGTAAAGTCAGAACCACCAACGCTCAATTGCGTTAAATCAAATAAATAAAAATCAAAATAAAATCGACAACTTCCAATCCCTTGAAAATACAAACAAGCATAGTCAGAGAAACTCACACTCTTCTCAAATAACGATGCAAGCATCGGATCCATGGCTGCCGTAGTATCCCCGCCGCCGGCCAAGAAAGGGAGTACTGAGCCATTGGCAGCCAGTGCGCTGCCTGCATTATTTTCCTCGCCTGCGGGCACAGCAGCCTTGGGCTGGGATTTTTGTTTCTTCCCCATCGTTCTTTTTTCCGGGTTTGTTGTTGTAAGTGGTATGGGCTTTTGGATTTGATAACCAGTGAGTGTGTTAAAACAATAATTCCGCCGAGCTTTGAACTTTTTTCGTTCCAAAGCGATTTGCTTGGCATTAGACTCAAAAATGCGACTAAGCCAAAACGGTACAGGTCATGTGATATAAAACTTGATTGAGGCTTGGCGCGGACAACATCAAAGACTTGTATCTCGGGGTTGACTACGTGTGATGGTTTAACGCTTATCAATTCGGTATATAGTTATATTTTGCCAAAGCGTGTTAGTGTGCAAGTTGGAAAATATAACAGTTCAGGTAAGAATGGATGAAAACAATGGCAAGTGGCTCAGCTATAATCTCTGATATAGAATGGTTCCACAAGCTGAGACTTCAAAGCTGGCGAACGCAGCCCCGGCATCAAAAGCCACGGAGAGCGTACGAGGAGAACAAGAAAGTATTCAAGATCTGAAACTAAGAACTCGGATATGGGCAGAGTATTCATGGGTGATATGCGCGTACTAACCTTAAAATGCAATAATGGCGGCAAATTCGGCTATGACAGGCGCAGAACAAACCCGACAAGTGCGAGTGCGATCAAAGGTCTGTCCATGGTAAGAGTCTACATTTCCTGACACTGCAGAAGGTCGTCAAGCGCTAGATTGGTCCTCAATGGATGTATTTGAACATGAAATAGCACGGGTTTAAGGGAAGTCCGCAGTTGTATCTGCACCTTCCAGAGATCAGGAGCGTGAACAGAAAAAGACGGTGACAGGAAAACTAGCAAGATGTGTTCAAACCCCTAAATAAGGAAGAGCGAATTAAATATTTATTAACAGTTCTTATCGAAGCTGCTGATTTCATTACTCGCCTGATTGGAGCACAATGGATCCCAGGGGTGAGAATTCTGTGTTATAGGCAGCCACGTGATCGGAGATTTCCAACCCGGTCATGGCAAAATGAATGTAGTCAGACGGGCGCACCAGTGGGGAGCCAGAAAACCTTGGAAGAGGGCCTTGGCAAAAGCGGTGAGCACTTTACGTATATTCATTGGGCAGAGCAGACACACAAAGATGGTGCTTAGTCATCTAAAAGTCAGTCGCCGCACTCGGAACGGCGGTATGTTTGCATTATTTGCTTGCTTGCTGGCAGATGACAGCAAGGGAGGTCACTTGAAGCAAAAGATCGCCGCTATTTTCGCTGTGTATTGAAACTTTGGTAATATGGATTCGCACGTCGGTGACAATACCTGTTCGGCCACAGCGATTGCCTGCGGCACAATACCTCCCTCCGAAGGACTAGGCTGCGTAAATTACAGTAACCGATACCAATCCCTGCTGTTTGGAGGGAAACAAATCATCATCGATACGCTGCCAATACACAGCCAAAGGAATCGCCTGGTCTTTCTCTCCTCGCACTCAGATCCTCCTGCTTGCTGCTTCTCTCCGCTCTCCCACACTCCTCCCTGCCATCGATTCACACTCCTCAGACCCTTCACGCTATCTCTCAGACTCCCGTATCCTCCAATTTAGCTTGATCTCAGCTGTACTCCTCGTTAAACTACCCCCCCTGTGCTATTCGCCGGGCTCCAGCTTCCTGCCCGCTTCCAACTCAAAACGCACCCCAGTCTTTTGCGAACAGCACTCCCACCCTCCCCCTCGCCCTGCCTTTCCCTCATCTACTCTGCACGACGTCGCAGAAGATCATCTACTACACGATATTGCTTCTTTGCGCTTCCCTGTGTCTCTCCAGCTGTCAAGTCTTGATTCCATTGTCGACCGCGAGCCTGTGGTGCACCACCGTTGCTGCGCTTCGAGCGCATAACCGACCAGGTACGTCAAGCCCGCTTTTTGTCGAAACAACATCTCCATACAACGTGGAGGAAAGCATGGAATAACTGGAGGCTCGCTGAGACCTCCTGGACTCACTTTGGGATATCTGCCGCCCCGGATATTTGACTGCTGCTTTTTTGCTCCTCGCCTCGTCATTGAGGTTGGGTCACCAGAATTGTTCAGTCAAAAACCCCTTCACCAGTCCAGTAGCTCTCCACAAACCTTCAAATTCCATCTACAAGGCTTTTAAGACTTTGGATTCTATTCAATATCATATATTGTGAAAGCGTCACTAACTCAATTTTCTTTTGGCCTGTTTCGCAGCTTTCGAAAAATCTTCACTCACGCCCTCCCGACCTAATCGGTTACTGAAACCACCAATCCAACTTGGTTGGACGTGCTCTCCCTCCCATCTTTGCGTTGAAATCAACGTAAATCATATATTCAATACCTAGATGGACTCCATAGAACCAGCGGAGTCGGCCACTCCCCTTGCACAATTGGCATCTGTCGCTGAAGCTGGGGTCAATGGCCGCGACACCGAGTATTCTATTGCGGACGATGCCCGTTCTAGTAGCCTGAGCGACCTTGACGATGCTTTAGACAACGACAATTTGGATATTGAATCCCCAAAACTTGAAAAGGTTGCGAGTGAAATTGACTCAGAAGCTGAAACAGAACGGATCGAAGAGTCTCCAAACCACCTGCGAAACCGCAGCAACATTGTGCTGAACGCGGGCATGTTCGAAACGAGTCCCAGCAAGCTAGCACAATCCACAACATATGACGAACTTAATGATGAAGATGACGAAACAGAAGCCTCTCCCACCAAACCACGGCGGAAAGTCAGTAGCAACGGCATACCAGCTACCGACAATGTTGCTGCCGCCGATGGGCCCGAACTACTAAGCGCTTCTCTTGAGGCCATTAGCAAAAAGCGTAAACGGCTCGACCTAGGAGGAGATGCTGGTTCTGAAGCAAGTGACGAAGAGCCTCTACGAAAACGTCGTGGCTCCGTTCCCGTGAGCGGAACAACTTCCAAGTCATTGCCAGACCTCTCATCGAGCCTTCCAAGCGGTGACGCCCTCCAAAAGAACAGCGAAACTTCCCCCGACGAGACTCCAGCCGCAGAGGAGACACGGAGCCTCGATGCGCGTGCCCCAGTTTCGAGGGGTAAACGAGGGAAGAAAGGCAAACGAAAGGGCAGAAACGCCAAACAGGTTTATGACGACACCGAAGCAGAGAGTGTTCCTCCAACGCGAGGTGCCGAACAAGATGTTAACGGCTTGGCTGATGAACCAGCCGCAGACGAAGAAGAACAAGCTGAACATGTCGATGAGGTGGATGACACGGAGGTCGTTTCGAAGGCGGAAGAAGAGTGTACGTATAACTGCTTGATCTATATTTTTTGCGCCAATTCCTAGCTCGTTGAGTCTCATTACTCACAACGAGAATAGTGATGAAGAAGTCCACGGCTATGGACCTTCTGGTTACACTTGAACGACAATTCGCAACGTTGCGCGATAGGTAAGTTGTTGATCCATGCCGTCCCCTGAATATGGATTGTCTCTAATATGATTTGTTTGTGCTCGCTGTAGGATATACGATGAGAGAATCGCAAACCTCAACAATGAGCTATCACAACTCACTGAAGAGAATGCTACTCACCCTGAATACCTACGTCAGCTCAGTATAATCGAGAATTATCGAGATGAAAAAATCAAATACGAGAGAACCCTTTTCAAGTACAAGCTATCCTCGCTATTCAACAAAAGCCAGGCCGAGCGCTGCCAGGCAAACAGCTCTTACTTCCAACGGGCCCGAGATGTTCGTGAAAAGTATCTTGATGATGCTTCACGCCTACATTACCGAATTCAACAGGATAGATTCCAAAATGCCGAGGCTAGCCCCGACTTCTCTATTCCCTTCCCAACTCGCCGCTCACAACAAATTTCCCAACAAACTGCCTATAATAAGGAGGTTTCTATTCTCTCGGGCGTTGCGAAATATGTGGGCTTCCCAGCTGCTCCCGCTATCTTGCCGGCGCGACAAAATGAGACGGATGAGGATTTGGCCAAGATGGGGGTAAGTCCTCTAATACACGTCGGATGATAGAGAAATGTCGGGAGATATACTAAACAAAATTCTTGATTCAGATTGACCCACGTTCTATGAATGCGCCTCCCAACTTCCCCCGCCCATCCCACCCTCGCGGCACATTCACTGCAACACCATCGACAACGACACGCCCGGGCGCAGCGGAGGAATTCCTCGAACAGACACCATGGGCAAACCCACAACACTCCAGCCATGAGCAATATTTACAACAGCTTCAACAAATTAGGATGAATGAGCAGCAACATGGAGCGGATTATATATATGCTACCCCTGCTGCTCAACAGCGGGTCGTGGATCTACACGCGCCCAATGGGTCTGCTTCTACGATTCCAGACCATCCATCCGCGCCTAACTCTTCAGCCGCAAACACCCCGTACGTCGTTGAGCAAGACCGAACAGGCCACCCACATCATAATAATAACCGAGCGCTCACAACGGCTAGCGAATCCCCCTTTACCCGCCAACCCAAAACAGATGAAGCTGAAAGGATGTCAGGGTTTCGATCCCAAACCTCGTCTCCACTGGAAGTGCGGAAACCCAGTAACCCACGCCGGCCACAGTCGCGAACCATCTCTGGCCAGCGATCGCCCGTACACCCTCAGCACCCTCATAATCCTCTGTCAGAAGAGGTCGGGCCCTACCAAACTTCCAGCGCTACCAGAGATGGCAATCAAAACAACATCAATACCAACAGTAAACATAGCAATAACATCACTAACAATATCCAATCGTCCCCACCATCTTCAGCACGCCTGGGACTTTTCGGCGCTCCACCCCAATCTCGACGGGAACCATCTCCGCAATTACCGACTCCGTCCGCAGCCCCGAATCCAGAGCTACTTGGCTCCTCCACGTCAACAGCAGCAACAGCCTCTCGGCAACGGTCCGCGCCTCTGAACTCCATGCACCAAGCCGCTGGTATCACGGCAGGCGGATCTGGGAGGAGTCGGATGGGTGCGCGATGATAGTTCTGTTTTAATATATATACACGTATGCCTGAGGGAAATACATATCCCCGACCCTTCGTTAGGTCCATCCCCCGGAACGCGTGCAGCTTGCATCCCGCATCGCGGCATCCCCACGCACGCCCCGCGCGCGTCCATGCTCGTGCCTAACTTCGTGTAACCGTGAAACGTCAGTACCGGGTTTTTTTTTTTTTTTATTCGTTTTATTTTTATGGGAATTCAACGTACGTGATACGAAACGGTCAGGCAGGGGCGGTGTGGCAACGCCTTACCTAAACGGGAGAGGGCTGAATTTTGGATGGGGTTTGGTCTGGTTATATATTACAGCTAATAATTTTCTTCTCTTCGCTCTGTTTACTTGTCTGCTAGGAGAGGTGGGGGAGCAAAGGCCCTGTTAGCAATTAACCTTTTTTTTTGTTCTTGTAACTTGCATTTCTTTTACCTTTTCCCCTTTCCTTTTTTTTTTTTTTTTTTTTTTTTTTTTTTTTTTTTTTTTTTTCTTTTTTTTTGGGGGGGGAGGGGGGGGCATGCCGTGTGAATTTTGAGGGGTCGTTGAGGGTTGGTGCTGGCGGATTGTGGAAACGTTTCTTTTTTCAATTAATTTTTTTGGACAGTAAATAATACCCCGAGACAAAAAGGAAGTGGGCGTTTTTCAACCTTTTTGACATTTAATTCCACGGAAGTGTTATGACGGTGATTTAGCCATCATGATAGGATTACTTGGTATATGTATTTCCTCACGTTTTCAATATTTTTGTGATACTTTCTAAGAGATCATCTACCCTCTTAAAACGAATTAGAAGGGATGTATTTTATTCAATTTCAATTTTTTTCGTCATCGTAACCCTCGTGGTTTAACATAACATGCCGCTATGGGTCTTGTAAAGCATATATATAGAAGAAGAAGAAGAAGAAGAAGAAGAAGAAGAAGAAGAAAATTGAATGAACAATGCAAAATGAGCCTGGGGGCAGATATCAAATCCTTTCTCCCAGGGATTTGAGAGGAAAATTAGAATTTCCAGGATACATAGAACGCTCAAACCCAAAACCAAACTCTCACTTCACCTCACATATGTATCCCGTTTCGAACCTCATTCCATCTCATTCTCTCCTCCCTCTCCTCCAAATTCCCTACGTAAACCACTCACACCCCGCGAATTGACAGTTCGAATCCACACAATCCCTACAGACCTGCATCATCCTGTCGCCCTTGGGGTAATACATCTCGCAGACGGTATATCCATGGATTCTCTCTACGCAATTCGGCCGTAGCCTAGGGTCGCTTTCGCAGAAATGGGTTCTGCCGCATTGTTTGTTGAAGGGGTTTGGTGGTTCCGTTTCTTGGGGAGGGAACCATCGGTCTATTTATTGTGGTTGGTTTTTTTTGTTTTTCTAAGTTTTAGAAGGGCGGGAGAGTAAAAAATGAAATGATGAATATGGATGGAATGGGGGTGAGGTATGGGGTAGATGTGGAAGTGGAAGTGGAGTAGTAGAGGTATGGGACAGGAGTGTTTCTCTTTCTCTTTATTCTTTTTTTGAAACAGAGGCAGATGGGACAATTTATTATTTGTTTTTATATTTTAAGAGAATATAAATTGCATGTATGTGCATGTGTATCAGGTCCATGTACTGTATATAGCAGAGTAGTGCAAAACGTACCTGGTCTACCTGGTCTGTCAGTAGTGGAAGACAGCACCCGAGGAGCCCAGAGCAGCAAGGCGAGGAAGAGGGCGAGGATCCGTGGGAATAAAGCGTTCCCCATGATGGCAGATTCGAGAAAAAGAATGACCGACTTATGAGGTTGATCGACACATTGCGGATCGGCACGCGCGCGTCAAGAGAAACGTCTCAGGTTCGGGCAACCATTCAAGCCCTAGAGTGGAGTGGGAAGATGGGACAGCAAGCGATGATCCTTATCTACGGGAACAGCAGAGACACTTATTAGCTGGGACGTTCCCCTGATAGCTAGTGGTCTCTAGTACTTACACAATATCAATTTTAACACTATTGTTGTTGTTGTTGGTCCACAGCGTGTCGTGCGGCACGGGTGTTTGGGGCCAGACGAAATGCTGCATGCAGCATCTAACGGGGGATATAACGTGAGGATGACTGCTGGGCTCTCGTCTCTTACAAACCTTCTTGAGTCGAAGGTCGAAGCGGGGGGTGCGCACGCATAGGGAAAGGAGAGGGAAAGGCGCCTGTTTTATATATAACAGGCGCTTGGTTGCAGACCGGCTCGATTTGGCGGTTGCTTGGTGTTGTGCTGTGTGTGCTGTGTGTGCTGTGTGTGCGGAACAAGCCCCTAGTCAAGCCTCCCTCCCACGCCTGCGCAAGCGTTTCTAACTAATTTATAGCTGCTAGGCATAGTATACCATCAATAATAAATGACAGAACGCCTTCCACGTTCCCAACCAACCAGCAACGACCACCTCAACCACCTCAACCACCAGCTCTCTTGGCCCTGTCACTATCTCCAGGATCCCCTCCTCGTTCAAGTTCAAGCGTGGTTACTCCGCGGGGAGCACACCGAATACTGTCATCCTGCAGAGGCGGACTGCTCTTGGTGCCCTTGGCTCTGGTGGCTGGCATGGGCCTAACAAGCGACAGGCTAACTAATAGCTAGGGAGCGAACTAAACTAATCGAAGTGGATGCCACTGCGCGGGTAACTCTATCAAAGACCCGAGAAGAAATACCCGAGTCAATCAAGTACATGGAGGAAAAAACCGGTCTGTCTCCATACTGCATACACGAAGAAATTTATTAATAATTATTAGGATTTACGAAGAAACCTTAGGAAGATGCTAGGCACGGCGGATTTTTTACTTGATATTTCATTCCTTCCCACATAGTCAAGGAGGTTTTCGGTGCACGCCGAAAACTTGCAGCCTGTAAGAGTAGCGACCGAGGCACACGAGCCAACAGAAAGAACAGTGGGACATGAGAATCAGGTGCATGTTATCGTTAACATGGGAAATGGGAGGAGGGCGTGTTTGGAACCTGGATATGGATATGAACAAGTAAGTGCGCAACTGGAGGAGAAACTCCTTTCTTCAACGGCGAGAACGGGGATGCCACAGAAACAACAACAGAGGCTGTTTATTATTCTAGGCATCGGTCGTCTCCGTTTTTGAGAATCCATTTTGCATAAAAGCCGGGCGGAATTAACATCGCAGAGAGCATATAAATGGATACTTCGTACGCCATAAGGGTGGTGTTCGGATGCCATTCATGCCACACAGCAGTGCTTTTCACCCCAAAAACCAGGGACTCTTTTGGGTATTTGGTTGAGTTCTGCCTACTTGGTGAGGGTGTTTGAAGCAAGGTTTAATTAAGCATGCTGTATGACTCCTCAGATGCAGATATGCACAAAGGAATACCACGCGCAAATATTCCCGAAACCGGTCTGCATGCTGCTTTCATACGTGTACGGAACGACACCCCCACGTTCCCTAGCGGTGAATAAATGAAAACGGCCAGATAACAAGATGAGCATGCATGATATTTGAGGTGAGACGAAGTGCGAAGGGAGGCGATGTTAATATCATATTTTTTCCCCTCAGCAACCCGATAGCACAAATGCACCTCCATTTTCCAGCTCTACGGGGGTCATTCTCCAGATGGCGGAGGGTATGGTTACTAGGCGAGTTACGAAGGGATCACACCCACCTCCCCTAGTCCAGATTTATGCTGGACAATATTGCAAATCACTCAACCGGGGAATCTCTTCGAGGAAATTGTCGAGATGTCAAGGGGACAGACATCTTTCGTAGAATTTGATAAGAATAATAATGATGTGCGCCTGACGAGGTTGAAAAGGGACATTTATCTCGTTTTTATTAGCAAATGCTAACATAAATTGTCAAGAGCCGTTCCTCGATCTAGATATTCGACTAGGTTGGGTTTCTATTTGAGGGAGTGCTTTGCGTGACCTCTTCCATACTGAAACGGCTAGTTCTATTTCTATTTCTGCCCGCTTCACAGCTTCACCGCCTCTGTTGTGTAAGGGGAAAGGAATACTCCCCAGAGTGCTATCTAGAAGATTCAAGGTTTGATCAACCTTCTCTCCTCAGGGCAAGGTTAGGGCTGAATGTTAGGGCTGCTCTTTATCCAATCTTAACGAGGCATCGGCCATTAACCAGTGACCACCTTCAGCAAACCTACTCTGCCTGCCAGTGAGTTCTCCATTAGTTGGGCCTCGGCCTCTGGTATTACCGAATAGAGGGTGCTTCTATTTATTGGTGTTGGGAATGGGAACGCTTCGTTCAGGATGTTGAAGGGTGTTTGCACCCAGCAGAACGAGCAACAGCAGGAGCTGAGAGTCGTGATTTCACTATGTATGAAGAAGGCATATGGTATGTTGGCCGTCGTCCTGAGGTACCCAACAGCCTATGTAGTAGGTAGGGAGGGTAGTAGCGATTCTTGGAGCAAGATGGCCCAGGCAGACAAGAGTTCTCAAAAGATCCGTGCAGCTTTGAGCGAGCACAATTACCCTTCTCCGAGGAACATTCTAATCATACCTAGTGACATGGAGAGAGTTGCGTGGATAGATTTTGATGTTGAAAACACTTATCCTGGCAGCACCTACATCAGAGCCTCAGAACGTGTGTTGAAATCAAGCTTGAAGCTGAAAGTATTGTCAGATTTTGGGCAGATGCTTGTTGGTGGCCCGAATATTTCACCGGTTGCATTGCCACTAACGAATTGTATAGGTAGATGACTAGAAGCAGGGTCCATCACGGAACAGAAAAACTAGGATAAATGGTGATTCTGAATGTGCACGTCTGGGCTTGAAATACACCTAGAGAGATAGAGAAAGAAAGGTGCGAAAGGAGTACTGTTGCTCCGAAGGTCCAGCCTGTTGCGCATTATATCCCCTAATGGGTTTCCAGCTGCCATTCATTATTCACCGCCAACATCGCGAGATACCCACGCTACAGAAAAACAACTAGATGACGTCCCCAGTATCAAGACCTCCGTATCTCAATTGGGCTACCTATACCGAGGCGGGGAATAAGTACTCGAACCCTGCTCTCAAGACTCACATGACCTCGTCACACCCTGGCGTCGCACAATTGCTCTCAACGCAGGATTTGCAGCGACTCAATTCCTCCGTTGGATCCTTCCCATTTTTCTGTTCGCACATGGCGAATCCTGTATCCCAGGACACACACCATCCCTCAGCCAGAACAGTCGGACAGAAGGTCCTGGAGGCGCAGACGCGGCTGGCGAGCTGACCATCTGCCATAAGTAATCCGTTCAGCTGAGGACCAAGTGAATGACATGTCCAGCGGATTGGGTTGTTCATTTTCCCACTTACTTGCGAAGTTGACAGGGAATGCGAGGGCAAGTTCTACAGCCGTGTGGGTGCTGACAAGCATGGTACTGGCAAACGCTTTAAGCGAGAATTTCATGATGAGTGGATAGTTTTTGGGTTGTGTGATGAAAATGGTTCAGAATTGGAAGAATGAAGTCCCGCGGACGAATCTAGCTTGGTAGTTGTGGCATTGTTAGTTTACTAAATGGCAGATTTAAGAGGCATTCATCTCACCTGCGAGCAAATCGTTAGCCAGTAATATAGAGATTGCTGGTTGCTGGTGATAATCTGGACATTGGGACGAAGGAAAAAGGAACCTTTGAACGAGCAGATACCCCAATATTTATACTGACTGACTGACAGTGCTGAGGGGAATATTTAATAAGGCCTGGAGCAGAAAGCTGTGTCTCATACTCATCTCAATGCCTCGGAGTCCTTGGGTTGTTAACTCATAGACCCGTCTTAGGATGTAAGTATCCATATTGTGCATTGTACAGATACCCGTGGACATCATGTAATTTTTAATGAGTATAGTGTAAAATCCCTCGTTGGATGTATGCAATGAGCCAAACGTAAATCTCTCGGGTATAGACTGAAGTTGATATCTGGGCGGGATGATCTGCACCGCTCTTCCTGAAATCCCGGTAGATATCAAGATAGTAGGTATGCAGCTAACCACGAGGGCTATGTAATCGTGAACCAGAATACCTGAATCGACCTGGAAAAGCATCGAGTTGTGTGATTTTTAAGCTGCGGTTCACGGGTTGTGCCTTGTTACATTGCCATACCAAATAAGCTGGGTAAAAATGCGCAATGGTTCTCGCCTCTAGGTCCACATTTGAGCTTCTAAATTCTTCGGGGCAACGAGATTGAACGTTGCGGAGTGGGATCAAAGTCGAGAGCGCAGAAAAGGGGAATGTGCGGTCGAGGGTAGTATACAGAAGCTCCCGCGGCCGAGCAATAAATAGGCGAGCAGAGCATACATATTTTTGTCGCGTTGGTAGTAGGGTATATATGGTATATCTATATGCAATGAGGATAGAATTTCGATGCCAGACGAAAGAAATAGAGTATTTGTACACGAAGGAGAAAAACAGAAAAGGAAAAAAAAAAGTGGCTGCGGAACTAAGGAGAAGGAGAGAGTAGAGATTCGGGCGCAAAACTTCGATCGGAAGGGTAAGTGGCGGAACGCGCAATGGCAAGCCCTCTTCGTCTGGCCTGATGGGAGCCGTGGAAAAGCATTTCTTCCCATCCTCGCCCACCCAGACAAGCGTCCATAGTACTGGTCTTATAGTCGACCGACCCATTCTAACTCTCATTCTGCATTTAAGACTCCTCTGCCCAGTGATCCAAGCAAGAATGATAACATCATTCAACCCCAAAATTGATTTCTTTTCCCGACAAATCAGAAAACCCATTTAACGCCAGACCGTTGGAAATGAATATCAGAGGGGAGGTAACTGAGTAGCCCTCTAAACTCCGGGTAGGTGGCTATGGGCCATAGGTTGGTGAGGGGTTAGGCAATATATTACACGTAGGCGGAAATTCGTAGTTATTTCGTCCCCTGCGACGGGGCTGGGCTGGCCTTTTTCTTTTCTGGAATCTGCACGTCTGAAAAATCATCTTGTCCGACAGCATTTATGGTGAAAGCATCTACAAGCGCATCACGATTAGACCACGCCAAGATAGTCAGCAGGAAGACCGAGGGGTGGAATGCATACAAACGCCTATACAGAGGCCGAACAATGCGAGCCCAGTAACAGCATTTTTAATCAGATACGGCCGTCGGGCGCGGATGAGCGCGGCACCCGCTCTGTAGTCCTTATCGTAGTAAGAGGATTTGAAGCTATTTGAGCAAGGTTGGTTAAATCGCGACTTCGTTCAGTGGAAGATCGTCCCTGATAAGATTCGCGACAAATGGAAACTTACATCGTCATGATAGAGAGAAATAGCTATCTAGATGCCAGTAACCTTGTGTTCTCCAAAGAGGGACGGAGTGGAAAAATGTCGATTTCAATCCTTGTCTGTCCCGTAGATGTAATAATTAATGATATCGGGATCTGCGGCGAGGATTTCTCCCCGCAGAGAAAACCTGTCATCACGTGATTAATCACTGTCCATCCATCTTTCCCCGTGGGAAAATCCGAGCTTGGGCTAGTATCAAGAGGAAATTGTAGAGATAAACAAACCTTCTTCTTTACCAACTTATTCTTCCTATCTTCATGCGTCTGAAAAAGCAACAAGCTGAGCGGCAACGCTTGTCGCGGTTTAAACTTGTAGGCGGTTATAGGCGCGCGCCTAACTGAACCGAAACAGGCTAGCGTTATCATTCCTGAGCTTCATCTACGCTCTCAGACTTCGCGACTTGCTCCAAAACAAGAAGTTCAATCAACACACATTGCTCGTCACCGCTATCAGCTCAGCGATTAAGGCTAACTAGCTAGCTTTTACTTTATTTTCTCTATGTAGCATTCGCTTTTTCCTTTTAAGCTATCGCTCATTGCAGGTAGTAAATAGGCTCCCCTTCTGAGCCTCTCCGACGTTATCGCCATTTTCTCCAAAGTCGCAGAGCCATTCAGCTCCACCTCCCCTGTCACCCACGGTCACTCCTCGTCGATAACCCACAATTTCGGCTCCTACGCCTCCTACTAAATTAATACTACTTGATTTCTCCAGTCAGAATTAGTATACAAAACGCTCCCGGATTTAGCATTCGTGGCCTTGGGACCTGCCGCTGGGATCAAAAGTCGCCATGGCTCTGCCTTTCGACAATCTCGCGGAGCAGATGTCCCAGCTGGACACTGCTAGGAATGTTGTACTTGGCGATGCGGCTTTATATCCTCAGATCGTTCAGGGCATACTTCCAATAATAGGCGCAAAAGCACGTTTAGAACTTCGGAGATGGGGCGCCGATTTCCTAGCAGAGACGTTTGCCAGCCCCGCGCTGGCCCAACAACCGAAGCAGAAGCTGAGTACACTGGTGATCCAGACATTGTGGGAGCTGTTGGAGAACCCAGATGAGGATGCCAGTGTCGTAAGGGGTGTGATTCAAACTACTGCGAGTATTTACCCATTGGTGTTTAGAACTATGTATGTCAAACCCTTGGCACCCCAATCCCTTAAATCCCTAAGTTATTGGAATTTTGGACATCGAAGTAGTGTGGGAGAGGCTAGATGGCCGACTCTCACTATCAAGGCAGTAGTTCTTTCATTATCACGGTAGTATGGGATCTGATTTCATCCTTTTTTTTTTTACTAGCCTTGATAACCCCGACGAATCTGCATTGTGGGAGAAAATGACAGGCATTAAGCAAAATATTTTAAAGCGATGGGACACTGCTTCAAATAACATCAAGGTTTGCTGTATCAAATTCGTCCAGAAGGTGGTGCAGGTCCAAACTACTGGCGTGATTTCAGATCCAAGGGTATGTATGGCATGATACAACTTTGTATGGTCTAGAGATACTAAGCAGATCTACAGCGTCCTGAACAAAATGAAACATCCCTATCAATTGTGCCGAGAAATCATCCGCTTATACCACTACCTAATCTTGAAGCGGAAGCTTCTGGTTTGCTAGATAGGCTACTCAACGTTTTCTATGAAAATTCGAGGTGTGTATCCGAATGCGGTTGTACTGGTAGTAAGATAAGCCAGCATCCTACTAACAAGTATAGTGATCCTATCTTGGTCAACGCGACGCTAAATTGCCTCCCTATTCTGATACGCACTCGACAGTCCATTTCAAGTAAGATTGTAAATGCGATTCTAAACTTCAACCCCCTTAAACAAGCGAACGCGCCAATGACTCCTACAATTCGAGTAAATATCAAGTCCATGGAACGGACCACGAGAGCATTGCTCGTCAATTTAATGAAGAGGTACGTAGTTAGGCTATGTAAGATCGTAACTAGTTTCTAATCAGTGCTCTTAGGAACCCAAATCATCCTCTCGCGAGCCGTGTACAGCAATATTTGGAACGATTGGCACAGTCGCGGAATGACATATTCGAGGACGCATCGAAGAAGCGAGCGCTACCGAGCGAGCCCACTGATCTTGTAGACAGCGCAAAGCGTGCAAGACTTGGTGTGGACACTCCACCTCAATTAAAGATCCCTCCCATGCCCCCTGGCCCAAATTCTTTTGCTCAGCTCTTCACATTGACCGATGATGTTGGTTTGACATCCTTCGATGTCAAGCAGCTCCCCGCGGATTTAATTGTCAAAATCACCGTTCCAGTTCTTAGTCGAGTTGACCCTGAGGCGTTAGATCAAGCTATTGGTGTACGTATCCTTCGAATCATATATGTCTGCAAGGAGAAATATGACTGATGTTTTTGATATCTAGGCCGTTCGATCCCGTTACCTCACATTATCCAAGAAACAAATCTTCGAACGTCAGGCCTCGCAGTCTGCCGCTCCGTCAGCAGCAGCAGGAGTAGAAGAGGAAGATGAGTATGAACCAGAATATCAGCCAATGGACATTCCGGCTGCGACACAAGCGCCAGCGGGACCTTCCGCTGCTGAAAACGAAGAATTCCAACCAGATCTTGTCGCCCTTGGTCCTTTTGTACTCCCCCAGCCACCGCCATTATCAGGGTCAGAGGCCGCTGCAATTGGTAAAGGAGCAATTGAAAGGGTTTTTAGCATGATTTCCACCTTAGAGCAACCGTCAAAGGCACTCAAAGGCTCTCAGAAGCCAGGTTTCGGGAGACTGGCTGCCAGCTCATTTGATCGGGACTCTTGGCTAGTCCTACTCACTCGAATGGCAACTCGAGCTTCGGCTGGCCTGGAGGTAGATGAGACGGATGAACTTATTAAAACTGAAGGCGGCCGCCCATCGTTGTCGAACCAACGTATCAGCATGGCAGACGGCATCAGGGAAATGTTATATCGATATGTCCTTGAAGATTTTCGTGTTAGAATCAACGTCGCAATTTCTTGGATGAACGAAGAGTGGTACAATGACCAAATACGACTGAAATATGCAACCTCAGAGAGAAAGAGTGAACATAATGTTAACGTTCCGAAACACTATGACAAATGGGTTATGAGGCTACTAGAAGGCATCTTGCCTTATTTGGACGCGAGAGATAAGGTCCTGATTAGGTTTCTAAGTGAGATACCAGAACTCAGCCCAAAGCTTGTGCAAAAGACGAAGACGTTAGCAAATGACCCTGAACGTGTCACACTATGCGTTCAGGCCCTTCAGTAAGTAAAATGCCGTATCGCTTGGAATAGGTGAATCGATTAATGCTAATAAAACCATAGCTACCTTGTCCTCGTGCGGCCTCCTGCAAGGAGTCTTTGCTTAGATGCTCTCCAAGACCTCTATACAAAAGGTAAAAGAAGAGTCCTAAAGCCTCTCCTCCCTCACGTACCTCATTTCTTTAACCTTTTCCCCTATAATGACATATCTAACCACCCTTACCGAATTATATAGTGGAAGAAGCACGCCCCCTCATTACAAAAATCCTTTTCAAATGGCGACCCCATGCCCTTCCAAAGCAAGACTCTACTTCAAAGCCCAACCCCACGTCGACGCAATCTCCACCCACCGCCACATCGTCTACTGAACAAGGCCAAAGCGCCCACCTCAATCCCACCGCCGTGGCTGGGGATAACACGTCAAATGGTGTAAAGTCAGAGCCAGGAGCTGGCACCGTCGATGTTCAAAACCACCATGTCAAAGCTGAGCCTGAATCGATGCCAAACTCAATCCAGGGCAGCACACAGCAACAGGAGATGAAAGCCTCGGACGATATGGGGGCTTCGTCATCCACTGCCACCCCCGCACCGAGTTGAAACGCCGTCATCGCCAGACAGCATGATGTATGTGCATTTAACTGGGGAAGGTCTCTGCTGTCTTCGCCTCGTGCTATTCCCCGTTGTATTACTGCTCCATGGACAACTCATTTCATGAAATGGATGGCTGTATGCATTTATCACTTAGACGAGACATATCCAGAGGGTAATGCATATAGATATGCAATTATGAGGATTTGGAAGTAATTTGGAAGTGGAATGACAACAAGAATAGCTGCGATTGGGCGGCAAACCTAGTCAAAGTCAAATATGGAGGTATCTCGGCCAGATTCTCCTGGGTTTGGATTGAGCTGTGCAATTAATTGAAGGTCTCTGTTCCTTTCGCTTATCATCAAAGTAATAGGTTACTAGACATAAGGGGTATAGTGTAGTTATTTCTATGGGGAATCGAGGCGGAGAATGAGATGAGAAAATAGTACTTATAATCCCTAAGAGAAAAGGGTTTGGAAAATATCATTAGAAAAGCCTAGAACACAACATAGGTATCTAGTGAAGGGCAAATAAAGTCATATATAGGAGCAGGCCGTAGGCATGAATATTAAATGGAGTGAGTGGTCTTTCGAGACTCCTTGACGCGGACGAAGCGAACTTCTCGGAGGGAGCGAAGAGGCGATAAAGAGGATCCGTGGTAGAAACCAGCATTATTTAAATTCCGTAGGCCCACGAGCTGGCCGGTGTGATAATACTGAATCAGGTTAATTTGTTTTCATTTGCAGGCTGTGATGCCTTCTGCTTCTGAACCCATTCCAGGGTATACTGCGTGCAAAAGATGTAAGGATCGTGCCCACTCCTCTGCCGTGCTGCATAGCAACGCATCAGAACTTCCTCTGCCTCACCATACTTCTGCTCGATCGCCAGCACCACACCGAGATAATCATTCCAATCCAAAAAGTCCGGGTCCGCGATACCTCCACTCTCCGCTCTGATATTTATCATCTGGCTCAACACCTCATTAGCCCTCTGCCACTTGCCCTGGCCCTTATAGGCGAGCACGATGTTCGTCATGCTGCCTAGCGTGCTAAGATGCGCGGGATTCATCTCCGAAAACTTCATTCGGACAGTGTCATTTAGTATTGCTTCAGCTTCTCGAAACTTGCCTTGGCCACCCAAGGCTGCCCCGAGGTTGTTCATGTGGTAGATGGTCGTGGGGTGCATGTAACCTAGCTTCCGCTGAGCTTCGCGATACAAAGGAGTGATGATGGCTTCAGCTTCTGCAAACCTCGATTGCATGATCATCTCTACCCCAGCGTCTTTCAACTTGGTATTGGTCATATCTTTAGACCTCACGTCGCATGTCCAGGGATACCAATTGATCTGCTGAATGATGTGATTCTGGATGAATTCTGTGCGGGCCGGTTCTGTCGTGGGAGGAGCAGAGACCGCACCGAAGGTGATGAATGCTGACTGGATGGGATGCACTAGGGTTATGTCGAATAGGGATATATCGTACTTGTCATGCATAGTACATGACTGCGGGTTTACGATGCGCCTGCCACTATCTGTCTGAGGCGGTGGCGGAGGTGGCCGCTCATGCGGCTGTGGTATTGGGCCGGAGGATATCGGCTTCATATCAAGCATTTGGCTCGGGGGTAGCACATATGGCTCTTCTGCACAATGTAAGATGCTTAGAACACATCCACGTTATGAGTCCAAGATCGACCCGCAAAGATAAGAGGCTTTCTCTTGATTGGGGGGCTGTAGGCAAGATGAGAAGGATGAAGGGCATTCGAAACAATAGCAGAATCGAATGATCTATCGCATTATTAAAGCTACTCACCAACATTAACACTCTCCCCAGATTGCTCCTTGCGGAAAAGCTTTCGTAGAACCATTATGAGAATGTCTGCTGATGAAGAAGTCGGTTGGACTGGATTTCGGAGAGACACTGGCAACGTTCACAAGAAAAATGTCAAATCTCAAGTTGGTTTCTATCCAATAAATTTGGATGATTGTCAGTAAATACCGAGGGAAGGTTTTCATCGGAAACAGGCTGCGCCTGGATATTCATAACGTCTTCACTGCAGACAAACCATCGTTTTTGCTCATGGGCACTACATGCCCAGGAAACTGCCCCGCACATCGCTGATAACTAGGTGTGCGCCCTCGTATTCAGCACTTAGTTCGTCTTGCAAAAAAGCAGGGCATTGGCAGTGGTGGTGACGCATCATTGTGCAAGCAAATCTTGACCTAATCAACACTTCATGCATGGGAGTAGCTTTAGTCGTTTGAAACTGACCCCCGGACCCGTTGCGTTCGTTATGAAGGCATACCTTTCCGGCAGGGCAAACTGTTGCAGGTTCGCCAGCTGCGAACAACGTTAGCGCCAGAGAGAAGCTTGAGTGAAAGGGGGGGAAAACGGAAGTACGTACGTAATTAAGATCCTTGACAGAGCTCTTTAAAACAACTTCCTGGTAATTTAAAGCGCATATTCCATAGGCTCTTCTCGGCTTTCGTATTGCATCACATTAAAAATTCGTCGTATCAAGCTTGTAAACGGTTGCCTGGTGCGGCGTTGGGCTTAGGAGAAAGGCCGACATTTGTTGCATAATGCATGTAAATCAGATCCAAAATGTGCAGACATATAAGATCAAGTGGCATCCATTTGAAAGAAACCAAATGAATAGGGAAGCTAGATAATTAGTGATAAACAGTAATAAATAAAAGTTATTAAGAATGTTCCGCTGGAGCTCCTCTCAGGAAACAGAGAATGTGTAAAATAAATCTATACCACAATTTATAGCCAGCCAATTTTGTTGGCAAAACTGCCAACCATCGTTGAACCGAAAGAAAAGGAGAAAAACGAAATCCCTATCCCATTTATCTTACGGCTTTTGATCTCACAAAAATGAAAGAAAAGGGGGTCTCTGGGCAGTTTCTGACGTCGTGGGAAGGAAACGCATTGTCACAAAAAGAAGAATGAGAAGAAGAAAAATGAGAATCTGCATGCACATTTCACAAAATGGAGAACTAAAAACGACAAATTTGAAGATAAAATAACAGTATAAAAACAAGAACAGGAACAAAGCAGGAAAGAAAAAAAGAAATCAAGAAAGAGAAGGGAAGGCCAAAAAGGATAATGTCTATTCGGTTCTCAAAACCCTTGGCCCTCGCTTCTTCAATGCTTTCTTCTTCTTGTGGCCCTTGTCGAACGCGGCGGCACTATTATGGTCTCGCCCAACGTTATCAAGGTCCTTGACCTTGTAAATTCTGATGATCCAGTTTTCGCTGGTGAAAGCTTCGTCGAGCGTAGTCAACTGGGGCCCTTGAGCTGGAAGACGCACACCACGCACACGATCTGCCGCTTCGCCACCAGGGAAGAGGGCGTTGAAGTTGTAATAGGACATTTTATACCTAGATGGGCGGGTTTGTCAGTGGGATGGATTGCAAAGAAATGGAGCTTCAAAAAGGGCAAAAAATAGAATAAAAATATAAATGAAAAAGGAGAAAGTAGATAGGCTGTGGCCGTTTAAACTGTCAGGAAAGGGGTGGAAAAAAGAAACCCACATTAGACTGTTCCGCATGGTTGGGGTCGCTTCTTCATCGACGCGGTATTCGCCTCTGGCAGTGAAGAAATCACGTTCCTTCACTTCATCTGGCCAAATGCCTTCGGCAATACGAACCATCCATAGGAACTTATTGAGATCATCGCCAGAGTATCCCAGCAATCCGCCAAAGACGATCAACACGTAATCAACATCGTGTTGCCGGAGGATGGGATAGCTGACTTCCTCGCGCGAGCTCATTGCTTTGCCGACAGTTGCAATATGGGTGTTATTCCATGTGTTGTTATCGACAAGAGTAGGGCGATCAGCCATGCCGCCAATCTGATAACCATAATCCCACCACGACATGATCTTAGCGTTCTCGGGAGTATTTTGGCGTAGCCAGTAGTAGGCTTCACGGAAGTCGTCAATGATGAATTGACTTCCGTCTAGTAATTTACTTGCCAGAACAACAGAGGGGGATGAGTATGCGTTTGACGTCACCCAAGTACAATGAGCCACAAACAAGAGAAGGTAGACAACGACGGATGTAGATATCAATCCCTTTGAAAGCTTGGAGTAAATGCCCACAACCTGCTTCCGTGCAGAAAGGAGACCGCCTTGGGATGGCTTGTCGCTGTCATCCGGCTCTGGTGGAGAGGTAAGGAGGTAGGTATCCAGGATGTGCGACAGAACCATTGCGGCTGCTACGCAGACAATGGGTGTGAGGGTAAGCATCAATCGCACCATTACACCGGCGAAGTAGCTCGCGAGGACGGCATAGATAATAACGAACACGTGCTCGTCCTTTAGTTTGCGGAAGCACAAATATACACCGGCCGGGAAGAGCCAGATTAACATGTTAAGGTCGAAGAAGAATGCAGGCCAAGCTGTTGGCTGATGCTCAGAAACGGAAGCAATAATCGGGATATGGATTTTAGCATAGCCGGTATCCCACAGAGAGTAGAACCGGCCACTCCAGGGGGCGATGACACCCGAGACGGTGAGAAGGACAAGGCCAAGGAAGGAAACGCCGAAGATGAGCAATACCAAGCTCGTTAGTAGGGTTTGGAATTGTTTCCCTGGTACCTGGCTACGAAGGAACTCCACAAATGCCACCACCTGGATGAGGCCGAAGATTCCTACAGGAGATCAGCTTTGCTCCTTAGAATCTATCTTGAACCATAGAGAACATACCTAATGCCGACATGTGATCACTGCTTCGAATAGGCAGGAATCCGACAAAGGGGATTTGCATGCTGGCTAAAGTCCCCAGCGCATACCAGGTGGTGTAGCTGATATAAAGGCGCGAACTGTATCGGCCCATACATATAAGTACAAAGACGTGAAGGGGAATCAAATTAGTAATGAAGACATATCCGCCCCAGGCAGATACCATGTATCCATAAAATAAAGCCGTCAGTACACCCCACATAATTGATCCGTTCTTCACTGCCTTAATCCAGAGGAAAAATGTAAAGACGAGAAGGAAGATCGCAATAGCTTCATTGTCGTAACTACCAGCGACGGAGCGAGAAATGTAACCTGGGACAATACCCATGAAAGCTGCAGCAAGAAGCCCAGCTGATGGTGACGGAGACATTTCGCAAGTAAGAAGATACATGGCTATGGCCGTCAAGCCAGAGAAGCCGGGAGCAAGCATCACGCAGATGTTTCGGATATCAACTGGAATCGAGAGGAATCGAAGAATATGATATATGACACCGCTGGTAACCATTAAACCAGGGTATAAAGTACCACCAGTAACACGCCCAAGGGGGTGCCATGTCCCTAATCACAAAATACACATTATTTAGGTTTTGCTCGGTGCGGTCCAGCGGAGTTGTAGCCCTCAGGTATAGCTTGTTAGGGGCTGCCTTACGGTCATCGAACCAGTCCCAGAAGCGGTAAAAGCCATGCTTCACAAGATATTTAGTTGCTCTGAAATTGAACCAAGGGTCGACTATAGCATAGACGCAGCATCAGCATGTATTCCTGTTGAACGGATAAGAACGAATAGCTCGACCGGCGGGGGCTTATATTGGGGGCGAGAGTGGTAGTCCAAGCAGCCACGCAACATACACTCGTGTATTATACTCTCAAATCCTGCATTAAACACAATTGGTTAGCATTGATGCGTACTCCTTCGAATTACACATATAATGCAAAGCACAAAAAGAGTGTATTGTTATCTTACTTATCACGCTAAAGAGTCGACTGGAAACAGCAGCAGCGGCGATGAGCACCAGAATGGTAACACGGAGCAGGCCTCGAGAGTTGCTTGAGGCAGCGCCCTTCAGAACGGGCTCAATTGCAGCGGTGGCCATACTGGCCTAAATCGTAAAGAGACACAACAAGATTGGCTAGGGCAAAATATGTCGCCTTTGTTGTTGTGTCGAGCTGTACTAAATGAGTATACATAGTAAGTTGGGTGTTGGAAGCTCTCCACGCCGCAAGGTGTTCTCTCCGGCCTTGGCATCACGTTGCGGCCTGAGGCTCTGCGGGAACCATGCCAATGAACGCGCCGCCTTCCCCACCACCAAAACTATCAGACACTGCTCTTTATTCCGCTCCGTACATCATCCAAACTTCCACCGCATCTTCTCAGTTATTCTCCTCATTAATTAGCTATTTAATACTCATTACCCCTTGGTTTATTTCTTTTTGCGGTGAATTTTAAGTGATTAATTAGCAGGCGAATTTGTAATATTCAAGATGGTGTCCCTGGAGGATATCACCCAGTTGCTCGCAACCGCCCCACCATCAGCGGTTCTTCTACAAACGCTTATGGAGCTCGAAGGAGACGTCAGTTTAACGTTTGGAGATACTCATATGGCCAGCGACACGGGATTCCTAAGCACATACTATTCCTCCTACCTATTCGCCCTCCTCCTCGAAGATGAAATGTGCGTTTGCAGAAATCGAACAAAACATCCCTACTTCTACGGCTCTTGACTAATCGTTCCTCTGCAGTAACGAAGCACATATGCTGACGCGTAGGATACCAGAGAGTCTCGTGAAAGTGGACGCTACAATACAAAGCGCCATGTCCCTCCTTCGAGCAGTATGGAACAAGAGCTACGAGAACATATACCGCATCATCAGAACGACACAATGGCCACAAAGCATTAAGTATCTAGTTCAACAATACCAACGTACGTATAAAGAGACAAACCGCCTGCCCATGTGTTCCTTCGATTAATTGTTGTACACAGTTTTCTTCCAAAATAAAACCTTCCAAGATATCAGTCTTGCCTACGGATCAATCCGGCCGTCGACCGCTGCTCTCTATCTAGGTCTTGATTCCATAGGGGAAGATACAATGAGTGATAGCGCGGATAGCACAGGTCCAGAGCTGGTTGAGCTGCTCATGGGGAAAGGCTGGGAATGGGATGCGGAATCGAAGTTATTCTCTCCGAAGGTTACGACTCAGGTGCCGAAGGTAACTGGTTCGGGAGGAGCGGCAATCGGGCATCTGGCGGCACAACTAAGAAGTCATGGCGATTGAGATATAATTTTCCCCTGAAGAGGTTCAGATGATTGTAATGAGAGACGAAAAACGAAAAACGAGAAAACGAGGGTCGAGAGATGGGCAGTGGGAGACGAGAAGCGAGGGGACCTATGGGTACGGTGGAGGTGCGGTGATATTCTGCAAGGCAGAATGAACATAGGTTCCGTCACGTAGAGGCCAGTAGCCAAACCGCGTTTGCCGAAGACGAATCTTCTCGAATTTCGCCATCCTCCTCTTACCCATTAATGATAGTCCACATATTTCTATTCTCCTTCCTCCGGACGTGACGCGCTTGGTTCTACGGCGTTTTATTTTCGGAAAAGGTCAAAGATTCGTGGATTCTCAAAAAACTGGATAGAACTTTAAGACGCCATCTGGGATATGTACAGAATGAAATAGAAAACTGAGGAATGTCTTTTTTCTCGCCTTTTGCACACAGAAGATATGGGCCTTGGTTACACGATATAAATAATACAAAAGGATGTTCTCCAACCACATACTCTCTCGGATATATATGGCGCTCGCTCATGTCCTTTTTTATCTGTTGGTCATTTTTTAGGAGTTTGAGGTACTCTCTTTCGCTGTCGAGTACCGCGGAGCAAGTACCTTTCACCGAGCCATCTCGTCGCTAATGCCTCCCTCATCAGTCGTCCGCCTCCCTCATCAGTCGTCCGCCTCCCTCATCAGTCGTCCGCCTCCCTCATCAGTCGTCCGCCTCCCTCATCAGTCGTTCGCCTCCCCCTCCGCCTCCGACGTTTTCGTTCATTATTTCGCCATTTCGGCAGCTTTCATATTTATGAACGCTTCGAGGTCGAATCTCTTATCTTCCGGATCGGTTATAACTATTTATATTATCTGTTAGCCGCAGTCTACGAAATGGCAAGCATCATACAAAAGCAGAGAAAAACATGTGTCAAAAGTGGATACTCCACCCTTGCCAGAGCTTTCTTTAGAAATCATTTAACGTACCTCCACTGCTCGTTGTCTTAGTTTCTGTTGGCGCATTCTTCTTTGAATATTCTGCCCGCGCTTGCTCGATCAATGATTCTTTGCGGCTGTATTCGCGATCTATCTGCGCCTGTTTGGCTTGTGAAGTGAGGGACGATTGGTGGTAGAGGCCATAGAAAACGCCAGCAAAAAGGGCGGAGTAGCGTAGCACCTAAAAATGCGTATGTCTGATTAGCACTGGGCTCAAGGTTATCTCTATCGACTTGCATATCGGGGCGGAGAGGGAACCCGGATAGTGAAATTTTTCGTGGAAAAGCTGGACCCACGTTGACACCTTGCGAAGCAGCCATGGCGATTGTATTGTGCGGTCCCAGCTACAGGAGAAGAAAAGAGACAAAGAAGACTGCTGTCGCAATGAACCTCAGTCTCTAAAGTGGCAGGACAGTTTGCGGGCGATCAATGGCTTCCGGCAACGATGTTGATAGCGAGTCAAGAGACTTGATCAGAGTCGGCTCTGGGGGTCAGAAAGTTCCGGAGTTGACTAAGCATAGTTTATCCGGCCGGTTGACCAGGGCTGCTGACTAAGACAGTGCCGCGCCTTGTCCAACCGCGATATAAACCAGGGAGTAAAGGAGAAGTAAATAATCATATAAACACTATCCACCTCGTCACTCGTACATATACAGTGCCAGTTTCAGAGCACGGATATATGACAATGCAGCAACGGAAAGATGAGATTCTGGCCAAGAAGGCTAAACTTGCTGAGCTCAGGCGACAGCGCGAATTGCGACAAAAGGAGTTCTCACAGAACAGGCAGAGCATTGGAGAAGGAGGGTCGGAGGTGAGCAAGCTCCTGAGCTTCTCAGCTCGTCGCATTTACTCTGTGCTGATACATAATACATTTAGCAGATTCTAGCTCCGACTCCCGGCCGTTCAGACAGCAGAGCAGAGCTCAATAGTTTAATTTCTCGGCTGGTCGATCGGCCTTCATCCGCAGCCTTAAGAGACGGCGGAGAATCACCCAGGGGTCGAGGAAGTAGACCCAATTCCGTCCTCAGTGCCGGCCAACTGAGCGGAGAAATTCTCGAATCAGTGACTCCTCCAGCTAGACCTGTATCTTTATCAATTGCAACGCAAACCACGCCTTTCCCCGCTGCTGAACTCCCCACCCCTGAAGCTGTCCCACTACCCAAGCCAGAGGTTGTCACCTACAGCAAAGGTGTCCAGACAGACTCATGGATTGAACCTAGAAGCCGGTCTGTAGATGGCCATTCTGTCTCGGAAGATGATAGCTCTCCCACAACATCACGCGCAAATAAACGGTTAAGTCGGAGACAGCAGCGTGAACGTGATGAGGAAATACGGGAGAGGCTCCGAAAGGAGATTGAGGAGGAGGTGCGATCTGCAAAAGGAATGGCGGGCGAAGGAACTGCACAGCAATCAACAGATATAAGATATCCCTTACGGACGCTTACGAGTGACGAACTCAATGCGGTCACCTCATCCAATGATTTCCTGGACTTTGTGGATAAATCCAGCAGAGTCATAGAAAGGGCGTTGGATGAGCAATATGACGTCCTAACAGACTACGCGTTAGGTGGAGTAGGTGCAAACGGCCCCGACGAGAACGACGAATATGGCAATAGTAAGAAACGAAGAGGCATAGAGGAGCTTGTCCAGTTTTATGATGAACGATGGAGCAAGAAGCGCATGATCAGTGATATCAACTTTTCTCCGAAGGTGAGTCCTGACCATTTTATATATACTAGAAGCTCTAGATCGGGGTTAATACTAAAATATCTTGATGCATAGTTCCCAGAACTGGTACTAGCTTCATATACAAATAACGTCACTGCGCCCCACGACCCCAATGGCATAGTACAAGTATGGAATCTCCATCTCCATTCCAGGCCGGAATACGTCTTCCACTCAATGTCTGACATCTTGACTGCGAAATTCTCCCCTTTCCACCCAAACCTCATCGTAGGCGGCTCCTACTCTGGTCAAGTCCTATTATGGGACACCAGATCATCGCGGGCAGGGGGCGGCGCCCCCGTCCAGAAAACCCCCCTAACAGGCTCCGGCCACACCCATCCAGTGTACAACATCTCCATCGTCGGCACCCAAAATGCCCATAACATCATCACTGCCTCGACCGACGGCGTCGTGTGCGGCTGGACAGTCGACATGCTCTCCCAGCCCCAAGAATACCTCGAACTCACCACCCCACCCCCGTCCAAAACCGAAGACCTCGCGCCCACAACAATGACATTCCCCCAATCAGACCCAACCTTCTTCCTCGTCGGCACCGAAGAAGGCGCCATATACCCATGTCACCGCTACGATCGCGCAGGCGCCAAAGCAGGAACCGACCATCGGCTTTCCTACCGCGGCCACGCGGCCCCCGTCATGTCCACCGTCTTCCACCCAGCCCGCGGCGCCGTCGACCTAGGTGACCTGATGCTCAGCTCCAGCTTAGACTGGAGCGTGAAACTCTGGCGCGTACGACCGCCCGCCGTCACCTCCACCTCGGGCACGTCCGCCACCACACCCGCACAAGTGGTCTCGCCCGTCCTGGAACTGAATCGCGAAGACGTCGTGTACGATGCGCGCTGGTCCCCGCATCGACCTGGTGTGTTTGCCCTTGTCGACGGCGCGGGATCTGTTGAAGTGTGGGACCTGTGCACGGACACGGAGGTGTATGCGGCGCGCGCGACGCCGACGAAAGCGCGCAATGCGGTTATTGAGCAGAGTTTGAATAAGGTTGCATGGGAAGAGAGGGATGGGCGGCGCCTGGCAACGGGTGGGCTTGATGGCGTGCTGACGGTGTTTGAGGTCGGGAAGGACTTGAGTGGCGGTCCCGATGAGGTGCCTGCTGAGGAGTGGTCGGCTATGAAGAAGCTTGTTGCAAAACTGGAGCAGGGCAGGGATTGAGTGTTTATTTTAAATTCCTTCCTTTTGCTTCATTTTCCTTTTTTGCGTAATAGATGTGATGGAGGGATGGGTGGTGTGGATATATCCTGTTTAAGTGACTTTATGGCCCATTGCTCTGTCTCCTTTGTTCTGGCGTTTTCCCATTCTTCTCCTTACCTCCTCTCCCTTTTTCTCATTTCATTTCTTTTCTCCTTTTTTCCCGGATCGATTTGTGTATCTTTCTACCATCTTGCCATTAAAGTATGCTCTGTTTATTTAGCGTTCTTTCCCCATTTTCCTGTTTTAATAACTCCACATTATTATTTTCCCTTCGAGAAAGCCGCCATCAACACGCCATGAATACCCACAGTTTTCTAACCGATACCTTCTTTATATTAACTAGTTCTAAATTTACGTCCTTTTTATTTTTCCTTTTTGCCCTCCTCGCTGAATCCTGAAAATCGCGAAACCACAACCGTAGCTAGCTTCTTCTTAAGAATAACCAACTACTTGATATATTGCCTACAATACAAACGAAAATATATCCATAGAAGCCCAAAGTTCTGTTTACGAAGAAAAAAGAAAAAGAAAAAGAAAAAAGAAAAAAAAGAAAAAGAAAGAACTTATTAATATGTAGAGGTTAAGCAATTTCGTGACAGTTTCTTTGCGAATAAACCAAGTCCTGGTTTTGTAGGGGATGGAGTGATGGACCTCAAAAATATAGAGGTGTCCTGGGTATACATACATACTATATATATATATTTAAAAACAGCTCAATACGTATAGCGGAACCCTTCCTGCAGACAGAAGAGCGATTAGCATGATCCCCTGAAAACACCTGGAATGGAGAGAGTACATGTAATGTACATACCACTCCCTCAATCAGTTTCCCGCTCGTCCTTTGCTGCCGGTTCATGACGTAGAAGTACGTGGAAAACGCGAGAATTATCGCAATCATAAGAACGTGGGAACTATCGATGGTTTATGGTGTGTTAATTCCAGGTAGAATCAAAGTTATGAAAACAAAAGGTGGAAAAAAAAAAAAAAAAAAAAAAAAAAAAAAAAAAAAAAAAAAAAAAAAAAAAAAAAAACAACTTACCCTATAGAAACCCAAACCGCCGTCCCATAAGTCGGAGCCTCACTAGATTTCACAATAAAGCTACCCGCAATGCCGCCTAGGCCATTACAAGCCGCCACAGACGCAGCCACTGTAGCCCTCTTCCACTGCCCGACGATATTGTTCGCCTGGTAAGCGTTCAGGGCTGCCCAGTTGGAGACGTAGGCGCCGGTGGCGAGGAATATGCCGATATAGCGGACTGTGACTTGCTGCGAGGCGGGAAGGCCGAGCATTAGGAAGCCAGCGATTAGGCTTAGTGAGTTGAAGAAGATGAGGGGGCCGCGCAGGCGGAGTTTATCACCAAGTAGAGATGTGAGGAGGACGGGGATTACGGCGTAATAGTACGGCTTGGGGGTTGCTGTTAGTTAAATGTTGAAATTTCAGGATATTTTGGAAGATACTTGGGAGGATGGTTGAAAATATGTAGGTTATTGGGGGAGGGGAGGGGAGGGGAGGCTTACAGGTGCAGATAGCAAAATGGATTTATTTGTATCAAAGCCCATGCCTCCTTGGAGGAGAATAGGGAGAAAGTACGAAAGGGAAGTCGAGACCAGGTTTAACAGGAAAAACAGACAGCTGAATCCGTACAGTTTAAGATCGAGAAAATTAACGAGGATCTTGGATATGAAAAACGGCTCTGGAATCGCATCTTTCCTGTCTTTCTGGATCCGCCCTGTCGCTATCCCTGTTTGCTCCTCAGTAAAGAAACAAAAGCTATGATGTGCATTTTCTGGAAAATCGATCATCCACCAATACGTGATGACGCCGACGAAGATAGTTATCAGCCCGTTTACCAAGAACATCCACCGCCAGCCTTCGAGTCTTGCTCTACCGCCAAGATGGTTCAAGCCGTAATTCATAATGTTCCCGGATGCCAGGACTAAGACCTCCCCAGCCTGGAGGAAAGCGAAACGAAGCTGCTGCTCCTCCCGCGTATACCAGGTACTGATCAGATATGTCAGCCCTGGATAGATTCCGGACATCGAAATGCCCAAAAACACCCGGACAACAATCATTTGCCTCCAGTTCTGTATGAAGGTCGTGCACAAGGTAATCACCCCGAAACAGACAGTGATTAGGGAGAACCATCGCCGGGGCCCGACGAAGCGCACTGCAACCGTCGACGGAAGCTGAAAAACAACACTGGATATGGTGAAAATGAAGATCGCTACTGAATAACGGTTTCCCTCCAGTGATAGATCGGATATCATGCTTGTCACGGAAGCCGAGGAGATGATGCCAGAATCCAAGAGATTCAAACTACATAGGATCCCAGAAATGGTACACAGTCGGATATCTACCTTCCGGCGCAGTTTGCGTTCCAGTTGCAGACTGTTCTCCCTATCTAACATTCGGTTTGTTGTTGCAACGGGGGAAATATGGTCTTCTCCACATAACCCCTCCAGAGGGCTATCTATCGACGAAACCCTAGCGGAGGCGGGGAATTTCAACCCCATCCCAATTGGTAGAGTGATAGCTGTCTTTTAAATGTAGCTAAAGTGGTAAGTGTCAAATGTTGGCACAATTGCTACCAATAGGGTAGCGAATGTCGTATTATTATATAGAAAGCTCTTTTGGCACGGGTACAATCAAGCTTTGACTTCGGGATGTGATCGGGCGGCCGAGGTCCACAAAATCAGTCCCGAGTCGGCATGTTAGAGAGCATGTTGTAAGCGGATGTTGAGCGACACAACCAACCGGGAATTATCTTTTGAATCCAAGGTATGCTTGTAGGACAAATTCGAAAATTGTGTCTGTTTCGTAGCACCTGGTGGCCACGGGCAGTATTTAGCTGAGTGGGCGGCTACGGCCAGCTAACCCGAGCCCAAATTCAAACTTTCGAGCTCCATAGGAGTTTTCTACCGAGCTCTTGCAATGGTTTGTTTCCTTGTCTTCACCGTATTTCTTTATTTTTCTTGCTTGTAGTAGTTCCTGTCGTCGTTGATATATTCATGTATTATTGTATATGGGCGTGGTTGCCCAAAAACGGATAGGGCAAGGGCGGTCACTGGACCTGTGGCATGAGTCAGCCAAGAACCCAAACTAACGGCAGGCAGCTTATTATAACAACATTTGAATGTTTTTCAAGTGTATATAAGCTTAATTCCACTTAACAACTCATTACGCTATACTCCGTAGAGTACGGAGTATATTGTGCGTAACCACACACCAATTACACCAATTAGTAGTTATACGATTATATATGGTTTAGTTCATATTGGTCCTTCTGTCTATGAGCTCCATCCCACAGATCTCTAGAGAATCCTCCCAGGTATAAACCCCTCCCTGGGTATAAACTCCTTCTATAGAGCGCCTCTAGGAATAGAGCTTTCCTGGGTATAGATAGAGTTTCTAAGGTATTGGACAAGTCTAGAGCCAGGAAGCAGAAAACTTGAAGACTTTGATTACTAATAATACAATCTGTAACGTTAGTTAGTTAACGTTATCATAGATATGTGCTCATTGTACCACTAGTATAAAATACCGATTTGACCCAAGTGTCTCTCAGCGGCCAGCTCCAGCCATGGTTGAACGAACCCATATTGCGCTTGTTATTTCCCTTTTTTGCCTCAACTTGGATGAACCGTCTGTCGGCAAGCAAGCCAAAACCATCGCGAGACTCGCCAAGAGCACACTACACCTCTCTCAATAGTAATAGCTTACAGAGCTTGTCCCCTCTCCAACCACGCACACTTAGCTTCATTAACTATTGTTCAAGCGGCTTGCATCTAGCCTTTGATCACCCGGTGACGTCTTTGGCCTGTGTCTCCCCCGCTACCTACGCGGTGCTCGGGCAAATGGAGCCTAAGCAGGGCCCGTTCGACGTCTCCTCTCTCCGCGCAAGCAGGATTTCCACCAACATAACAAAAGGGAGAGGAGGAGAGAATAATATATTATTATAAGTGCAACCCCTGCTCGCATGCCCCTGCTTACTGACGTATGATTCTTTGAATCCACATTTAAACCCCCTTGCTCTTGTCAACCCGCTCTGTTTCGAGTTTCATCCTCCTCCCGCCACCTCATTAACCATTCTCTCCTTCTTGACCCAGCTGGTATTGTTAGAAAACACCACTAACGGGGAATCATATTTGGTTAAAACACTGGAATCTGCAGATATAGCTGAGTAGTCGTTGCTTTCAGATCTCCTTGGAATCTACTTCAGTCGAAACACGCCAAGTCGGGAAACATGGTTGAATACATTCCACCCCCCGATTCTCGGTCCCTCATTCCTCCTCTCCTCGCTTGCATTGCTACTGCGTTTGCCTCTCCCAATCCGCCTCCCGCGTTGCTCCCATTGCTTTCTCCAACCCTTCGGCAGCGTGTACAGATCCTCAGCTCTGTCTCACAATCTCCGTCGGATTCATGGCTACGATTATTATGTTGGGACGCCGGGAAAGCAGAACGGCTACAGAACATTGTCGATGGCACGACATTTGAACCGCATCCTGTTTCTGGGGAAATTGAGATCCCAGATGATGTCCCGATCACGTACAAGCGATTAGACTTGGAAACCCTTCGATCGCAGTTCTCCATCCCCGACTATAACCTTTCGGTGTTGTATGTCTGGTGTCCTGTAGATCCAGAAGGAAGCGGGCCAGGTTGGAGGGTTGCAGAGGTATTGCCAGGCGATGCTCTGCAGGAGGAGGCGGGTAGCTGGTCAAAATCTATTGAAGAAGCTGATGAATATCGACAAACGAAAATTCTGCAAGACGCATTACAGGAAGCAGAGGATGCTGAATCTCGAAAGTCCGCCTCCAGTATTACCCAAAGCCGTGTGGTGAAACCAGAGAAGGAGGACGAAGACGATGATGACGGTTACTGGGCGCAATATGACAATACCCCAGGCAGGACTCCGTTAAAACGATCTCCTGCTCCGACCCAGCTTCAACCCAACGGTCTTGGCCCAGGACCATACCCAACCGCTTCAGATTCCTACTTCGCCAGATACAACGGGGTGCAACCAGCGTTGGACAATGATGACCCGTCTGTCGATCAAAGCGAGATAGGACAGTCGACATTGAACGGCGATACTATTGCTTCTGTCCTTCGACGACAGTCAGAAGCCATGCTGACTGACCGACCAACTGGTGCCGCCCTCTATGGTGATGACAACGACAACGACGAGTCTCACGCAAGGCCCCACATACCTTTGAACCACCCAAGACCTTCGTCAGCATCTTCCTCTGCCGGCTCAGAAACGGTTAGCAAACTAGAGAAGACAGCAGAAAGTCAGTCAATCTCGGAAATTGGAGTGAAGCAACACATCTCCTCGAACATCAAGAGTCTTTTTAGGTTGGCAAGGACGACGGGATTGTCTAGGGCAGAGTTTGAATCGATCGTCAGGAGAGAACTGGACTGCCTCTCCTTGATAGATGTGGATGACTATGATGAATGAGCAAAGCGTTTGTAGGAGCTTTTTTCTTTTGTATCTCGCGCATTTTCATAGCGGATAGCATTCCGTCCGCATCTATACCATAAGCATGTATAACTACCATTTTGCGGAGTATATATATTTATAGCTAATTGGATATTTTGATTTGATTGTGCATGTTTTGAGGGCAATTAGCTGTAATTACGCCGCATGTATAACTATCATATGCATTGCGTGTGTTTAGCGAGACAGGAATGCAAATCAATATACCCATCAATATCGATTATCCAATATTACAGCGTACATCAGCAGCGATTGGCTATGTTCCTTGGTCGAGTTTCCAAGGACACCAACCAAGCTCCTTTTAGCTAGTTCGGCTGGGTTGTCGCCGAGAAACCAAACCAACCACGTCAACCTTAACTACTGCGTAACTCTATCGAGTATCTTATTTTCGCAAATCCTCCTATCTGTGCATCCAGCAGCAACCCTTCCGCCAGAGCAAGCAGTTCTTTTTCTCTTCTTATTTCTCAACACTCGTTTATCATGCCAATTTAATTAATACCCTTTTTACCCTGTGAGTTGGTGGTGTAAGCCGTCTCTTTTTCATTTTGTTTTCTCTCACTCCGTAAGTGCGCGGAATTGCCTTTGGCTAACGTGTCTTTCCTGCTATCTCAGTTATATATATACCTATTCCTTCGACTCTCCTTGTTTCTGCGGGTAAACCATGTCTTCTCCACCCCCAAGCCTCCAACAGCGAGGGGGGAAGAAAACGCCCGCCGTCAAGGAGCCACAACCGAATTCCCCCTCAGCCAAATCGAACCCGCACAAGAAGGCCGTAGCAAAACCCGCCGCGCAATGGGATTATAAAGCCGCCTTGGTGATATTGACGTTGCTGGCGTTCGCAACGCGTTTTGCGAACATAAGTTTTCCGGACGAAGTTGTGTTTGATGAGGTCCATTTCGGAAAGGTTAGTTAGTACCTGCCTCTAGGGAAGGCTTGGATGTGTAGCAGAAAATGCGGCCTGCACAAGCACCACTCGGTAGTGTAAAATAGGAAAGCTGATACATCTTGTATTACTATTGATAAGTTTGCTTCGCACTACCTTCAACGCACCTATTTCTTCGATGTTCACCCGCCGTTTGGCAAGCTACTCTTTGCCTTGATGGGCTGGCTTGTGGGCTTCGATGGCCACTTTCTCTTCGAGCACATTGGAGATTCATACATAGAAAACAAGGTCCCCTATGTTGCCCTGCGAGCCATGCCAGCGATCCAAGGCGCTTTGACGATCCCTGTGGTTTTCCTAATTATGTGGGAGTCTGGCTACTCCCTCCCAGCCTGTGTCCTCTCCGCGGGATTGGTCCTGTTCGACAACGCGCACATTGCTGAGGATAGATTGATCCTTCTTGATGCAACCCTGGTGCTGACCATGGCGCTGAGCATCCTCTGCTACATTCGATTTTACAAATTCAGACACGAGCCGTTTGGCCGCAAGTGGTGGAAATGGCTGCTTTTGACTGGTGTCGCGCTAAGCTGTGTTATTTCGACTAAATACGTGGGCACGTTTACGTTCCTCACTGTTGGAGCCGCTGTTGCCATTGACCTGTGGGATCTACTTGATGTGAACCGCCCCGGAGGCGCTATCTCTCTGGTCAAATTCACCAAGCATTTCGCTGCCCGAGCTGTCGCCTTGATCATCTTGCCGTTTTTCTTTTATCTGTTCTGGTTCCAGGTTCACTTTGCCATTCTCAGCAAGTCTGGCCCAGGTGACTCCTTCATGTCCCCAGAGTTCCAACAGACTCTCAGCGATAATCCGATGACGTTGAACTCGATTGGGATCAACTATTACGATCAAATAACTATACGGCACAAGGATACCAAAACATATCTGCACAGCCATCCGGAGCGCTATCCATTGCGTTATGATGACGGCCGCGTCTCTAGCCAGGGTCAGCAAGTTACTGGCTACCCTTACAATGACACGAACAACCACTGGGAGATCCTTCCGATCACTCCATTCGATGTTAACGACCGTCTCGGACACCCTGTTAAAAATGGGGATATTGTCCAACTTCATCATATGGGCACAAACACTATTCTGCTAACTCACGACGTGGCTTCCCCCTACTATCCCACAAACCAGGAGTTCACCACCGTTTCCCCTGAGCTGGCAAATGGCGAGCGCCGCAACGATACCCTCTTTGAAATCAAGATTGAGAAAGGAAAAGCCGGGCAGGAGTTTAAGACCATGTCTAGTCATTTCAAGCTTGTCCACGTGCCTACGAAAGTCGCCATGTGGACGCATACCACGCCCTTACCCGAGTGGGCGTTCAAACAAGCCGAAATCAACGGCAATAAAAACGCGCAATTGTCCAGTAACATCTGGTTTGCGGAAGATATCCCATCCCTCGAGCCAGGACACGAGAGGCTGAAGAAGCAACCCCGCGCAGTCAAGCAAATGCCGTTTATCGTCAAGTACCTAGAACTACAACGGGCGATGTTCTTCCACAACAATGCCCTTACCAGCAGCCACCCGTATGCCAGCGAACCATTCCAATGGCCCTTCCTCCTTCGCGGAGTAAGCTTCTGGACCAAGAATGCTACGCGTGAGCAGATTTATTTCCTCGGGAACCCCATTGGCTGGTGGTTTGCCAGCGGTCTCCTCGCCGTTTTTGCCGGAATTGTCGGTGCTGATCAGCTCTCCTTGCGTAGGGGGATTGATGCCCTGGAAGAAAGTAAGTTCCGTTAATATAATTGTGGCGCCGCATCACATACACCCCAAACAGCCCCCTCAGCACAGAATTTCTATTCCTTTTATATACACTATACTAACCACCTTAATTTCTAGTCTGGGGACCAGGCACACGCGCACGCCTCTACGGCAGCACGGGCTTCTTCTTCCTCTGCTGGGCGGCTCACTATTTCCCCTTCTATCTCATGGGCCGCCAACGCTTCCTACACCATTACCTACCAGCGCACATCGCCTCCGCCCTCGTTGCCGGCGCACTAATCGAATTCGTCTTCAACATTGATCCCATAATCGCCAGCGACGACACCAACAAAAATGGAGACAGCAATTCGACTGCTGTTGCCGGCCAAAAATACCAGAAGCCCAAATCACGGTTGGGTCGGCAGAGTCTGATGGCTTCGTGGGCGGCTGTTGTTGCGATTCTGGGCGCGACGATATATGGGTTCATCTTCTTTGCGCCATTGACGTATGGACGGCCTGGACTTGATCCCGCGAGCGTTGTGGCGAGGCAGTGGCTATCATATGATTTGCATTTTGCGAAGTAAGAATGTGAAAGAAAAAAAAGGCATGTGTTTGTTTTGTGTATTTCCTAGCCAGATTTTTGCGTGGTGGTACAGGTTCGTTTTTTGAGCGGACCATTTGAGATCAGGGGGAATATATATTATCTCTATATCTTGGATTTTTGTCAGGAGAAGAGCCTTCCCTCCGACCTCACTACTGCCTGATGCATGCATATAACTGAGCCTACTGCTAAAGATGTGGACGGTGCATAACATATTTTTTTTGCATTCGTCGTGGCGCTTTCACATTATCAATCCTGCAAATCATCATATCGAGCTCCAGGTTGGGGGTGAAGGGTAAAGAGTTCAATACTGGTTGTAGATGTTGCGTGTTTGCGGTGAAATCTCTTTTCATTTTCCTACGGTTTAATAAATTATTAGATAGCCAATGTATTGTACGATCAAAAGGAGAAGCTAGATTTTAGTTCACCAGTCTTTGCGTGTTTAAGCCCTGCATAGCATATATAGTATCCCAACCTATCAGTCACAGTGGAATCTGGCTTCTCCCTCTCCTAATGGAATGCGTTTCAATACTTTTCTCTTCCTGCTCAAGGGGGCTATGCTGTACAAAAGCGCTCGATTTATTACTGGACCTGTGCATGAACCATATCCTAACTCAAACAAGTACCTTGTCTTGTCGAATAGTGGGGAATGAGCCGGAAATAGTCCCTGGGCCTAAAACTTTGGGAATAGTAAAGAATTAACGTTAAGCCTTTGGTTGAGCCGCGCAAGTCCAAGCGGCCTCCACCACTCCGAAGTCAGGATTCAGGGTCGGCCTTCACCACTCCGGAGGCGGAAGCAAACCTCGGAAAGCCGGGGGTCTTGGCAGTGGAGCGGCGAAGTCTTGCTGCCAAGACCAATGACGAAATCGGTGGGAAGCTGCTGACAAAAGAATAGGTCAGCATAACTAATAAATCGTCGCGGGCGGCCTTGGGAGTGATATTTAGATGTACCATTCACCAAACATCTGCTTAGAAAATATATTGCAGTACATGCTCTAGGAAGATGTTCTTGGGAAGACCCTTCTGGCACCATTGAGAAGATCGCAGAAAGTTTGTGCTCGAAAACTATATAAACACCACGGCAGGTCCATGAAGCTCCTTTTCTCCATTCTAACTTGCGTCACAGCAATTGTCCTATTTTACTCCTTCGACGATATCAAGAACTTGGCTACCATTCAGATTCTCTCGTCTTCGAAGCGAAGCTCTACCACGACGTCTAGATTAGCTCCAGAAAACATACTACCTCTTACCCCACCAATCACACTACAAGCGCTATCCGACATGTCCATACCGCGCGCAATCCGCACCGCTTTCGTCGCCGTTGAGCAAGCGGAGGGCGCAGGTGCCCGCGTCCGCAGGTCAATCGGGACTCCTAAATTGCGAAACTTCAGCCCCTTCCTCCTCCTCGATCACTTTACAGTCGGAAGCGGCGCCGGGTTCCCAGACCACCCCCACCGAGGTCAGGAGACAATCACCTACCTCCTATCCGGAGGCGTCGATCATGAAGACTTTGCCGGACACGAGGGCACGATTGGGCCGGGAGATCTCCAATTCATGACTGCCGGCCGGGGAATAATGCATGCAGAAATGCCGCACGAGAACCCGGACGGGAGCCCCAATGTCGGCATGCAGCTGTGGGTTGACCTGCCTGAGAAGCTGAAGATGTGCGAGCCTCGATACCGCGATCTGCGCGCGGCGGAGATCCCAGTAGCTGATGTCGACGAGGGCAAAGTGTCCGTTAAAGTGATATCTGGACAATCGCACGGAGTCGATTCGGTGCGCGACCTGGCGTACACTCCGGTTTGGATCTTCGACATCACCATGCGCCCCGGGGGGAAGATTTCACAACTCCTCCCTCAGGGTTGGAATTCATTCGCATACACGCTGAGCGGCACTACGAGGTTTGGCGCAGCCAGTGAATCTACTAATACGGCTCCGCCATCTTCCCTAGCCGACTCCTCTCCTGCTAAGACCGTTGGGCCGTTCCATAACGTTGTATTCGACCAGCCTGGTGATTTTGTGCAGGCTTCGAATGCAGCAGAGGCCAAGGAGGACTCGCGGTTCATGCTTATCGCTGGCCAGCCTCTCAACCAGAAGATTGTGCAGTACGGCCCGTTCGTGCTGAATAGTCAGGAGCAGGTGCAGCAGGCTATGATAGATTTCCAGAGCAACTCCAATGGGTTTGAGAGGGCAAGGGGATGGCGAAGCGAAATTGGGAAAAGAATGGGTTAGGCGTGCGATTGTTTGATTTATTGATATATTGGTATTTCAAAGGGGTTTTTCTGTCTGGACGACGAAGGCATGTACTATGACTTAAACTGAATGATGTGTTGTGTTTTACAGCGGAATTTGTATATTTAGCGATACCTTCATATGCATTGGTATAACTTCTTCTGAGAAATGATAAGAAGTAATTTTGGTTCAAATAAAATATTGTTTCACTCATGTATATCCCAGTAAATGGAACTAAAACCAAGAACAATCATACAAATCACGCCTCGAACCATTTCAACCCCTCTGTGAGTGGAGTGAGTGGAACAAACCCAGCGGAATGCCAAGACTTCGCTGATGCCACGAAAGCTTCAACGGCTGAAACCGCCGATAAGCTTCTCGAACTCCTCCCCTCCCTTCGTACCAACTATTTTGCAACTGGGCATTCAGACTTACTTGCGAAGATAACGCTCTTTTTTACAGCGTTCCAGTTTCCCACCTCAGCCCAGCCATATTCGATAGTGGTGGACGGCGGAATCGACGTTCCCGGCAAGCCTAGCTAGCCCGCTCTACGAAGCGTACGGCCTATTTACCTACCCTACCGTGAATAAATAAAGGCCAACTTCATTGCGCGGCTTGAACTACGACGATAGAACAGAAACCTTCCTAGGCGGACATTATGATTTCTTTGACCACCCGCAGGTCGTGAACCCGAGGGACGATCCCGAACTGCTTACTATTTATCTGGCGGCGTGCGATATTTAGCTTGCGGACAAAACTACATACGCTTGCGATTTTGGACTTACGGCAATCGCGGTACTTTATAAACTAGATACGGAGGCGAAAGCCCCGGTACTAAGAATAAAGGAAGCATTTTCTCTCTCTCTCTCTTTTTTTTAAAAAAATAAAAGCCAAGGAATAATAAAGAAGAGAAGAGAGAGTAGCCATGCGGCAGCATTCCCTACTGGCGCTCTCGAGTTTACTGGCTTATGCCGCCTTAGGCTTGGGAAGTGAGAAGACCTTCAATGTTTATGATGATGTTTTGGCGTTCCCACAGGTGAGGACTCTCTCTTCGCTCTTATATGGTGCAGGCTAATACATAAAACGATTCTTCAATGCAGTTTGAAGTTCATTTCCCTCTCGAATACATCCTCGCCTCGGATGCACAAGAGACATTAGCGAATCAACGATCCTCCTCAAAACAAAATGCCGCAACTACTTCATTATCCTCTGCATCACCATCACCCCTTGACTCTTCCGTTGTTCACCTAGACAGATCGCGGCAGCAGGCACCGCTACACGATGATAAGAAAGAAGACGAAAACGAGCGGCCAACCTTCCGCGAGGAGGGGGTTGAGAGATATGAAGAAATGCTTCTAAATGGAGGGCGATACCTTTGCGCCTTACCTAGAGTGGCGACGATCAACGAAACAGAAGATGCGGCTACATCCCCCACCGAGCAGGAGAAAGAACTTACGCGAGCCGCTGATCGCGGCTTGGAATTACTTAGCGACATGAAGGAAAGATGTATGTACTACGTTGCGGGATGGTGGTCATATTCCTTTTGCTATATGGACCAGGTGCGGCAGTTTCATGCTCTGCCGCCAGGGAATGGGGTACCCGCTTATCCGCCTGTTGAAGACCCTGCCACGCATGCTTATGTCCTAGGAAGATTCCGCGGCGAGAAAGGGAGCAATAAGGATAGAAAGGGTGGTAGTGGCAGCGAGTCTTCATCGTCGTCTGGTGGTGATAAAAAATCCTCTGCGACGGAGGTAGCGGTGCTTCAGGCCAAAGGTGACTCTCGATACCTGGTGCAGCACCTGGAGGATGGCACCATATGCGACATAACTGGCAGGAATCGGAAGATCGAGGTCCAGTTCCACTGCCATCCGCAATCGACGGATCGCATTGGCTGGATCAAGGAGGTTTCGACATGCACCTACCTCATGATCATTTATACCCCGCGGCTGTGTAACGATGTCGCATTCCAGCCTCCAAGAGAGGATGATCCGAACCCCATCGTATGCCGGGAGATTATTGAACCAGATGACGTTGCGGAGTTCGAGGAGGCAAAGGCTCTCCACGAGCAGGCACAAGATATCATGAACCTAGGGAAGAGTGTTGACGAGAGTTTACCGGTCATTGGGGGTATCGAAGTTGGTGCGATGAAGCTTGTCGGAAGGGAAGGAAAGCGGATTGAGAAGGGCAAAGTTGCTTCCGCTGGGGAAGAGAGGATTGAAGTTGTCGCCAGACGCCTGGCTGGGGAGATACATAAGATGTCCAAGGAAGAGCTCAAGAAGTTCAACCTTGACGCGGACAAAATTGAGGAGGTGAAGAAGCGTCTAGAGGACATTGCGGGGGGAAAGGATTGGAAATTGGAAATGGTTGAATCGAACGGGAGGTCTACACTTCGTGGTATTCTTGTTGCTGATGGGGATGAGGTTGAGGAACCACAAGGAAAAGATGGAGGTAATAATAAGAAACAAGAGAGTGGGAAGGGAAAGAGGAATCAGGATGACCATGGAAAGGAAGAGGGCAGCGATGAGACTTACAAAGAAGAACTATGACGATCGCCTTTTGGGTATAATTTGCTGGTAGTTGCTGCGGCCACTGCAGTCACCTGTCCCACACTCTATATAATCATATGTAACTATTATATTTAGATTCTTTATCTCTCTAACTTCATTTTGTGCTATGATAGAAACTGTCTAATGATATAGATTGATTGAGATACTATAATTTGAAGATGAGTGATATTAGAATCTCTTATGTGAGAGTTTTGCTCTAATATTTAGAAGATACAGAGACTACTTCCTCATATCCACTGGAATCTCTATGAGAATAGATATTGCTAGCTGCCACTGACTTCCTGCCGCCTGCGTCCCATATCCGCCGGATCTCAACGGAGGATCCTATCAAAAGTTTTGATTTGCACTAAGAACAATACACCATTATTGGTTAAGCTGTTCAGGCATTATTAACCTCCCTTAGAACTCTGGTAAATAGAAATGGGAATACTTTCTGCCAGTAACAAAGTTACACCTTAAAAATTCTTAGTGCTAAGCAGGATCCTTGGATGGCATGCTGACCTGGCCCCATGAAGATTTTTTATATTAATATTAATACTCAGAGGTTTGATATATTGATCTAGAAGATTTTTCAATATAATAGAAGAGATCTGAATGATTTCAATCTTATTCAAAAACATCACTGTGTTTGTTTTACCTGATCTTTTTTGAGCTGACACTTTGTACTCCGCACTCACCACTTGAGAGATGAAAATAAAAAATAAAAAAAAATAAAAAATAAAAAATAATTCTATCAAAAGATCATGAATTGATATAGTTGTTTTTTGCTATTCTCATTATTCAAATAGAAGAGATCAAAAAAAAACATCACTATGTTACTAAAAACAAAATGGAATCATTTTCCTTAAACAGATCCTAATGTTCCTATTTAAGACTAGTGTTGTACTATTTGGGACTAGCGGGTACCATAGGGCAAAGTGGCTGAGCTTACTGAGTTTAGATCTAGCCCCGTTTCCCTCTCGATGTCCATGTCACGTGGCATCGTCTATACGGGGGCCGTGTCTATATACGGAGTACATGTAACATGTATGTATGTAATGTACATGTACCTTGCAATTTGGTCTCTCAGCTGCAAGCTATGGTGATTGTAATAATACAGTGGGCTACTGTTAATTCCATTTATGTATATGTAATTTCGTCCTCTTCCAATTCTCGTTAGAGCCACTAAATTCAATTCCCTTCGTTGGACATTTACCTAGCAGTAGCGTTGAGACATGGGGACATGACAAATGGCCCGTACCGTATCGTAATCCAGCGACTAGTCTGCCCAGATCAGAAGCACCCCACGCCGGTACTTTCCGTATCACCCCTGTAACGTAACTTACACCGGCCGGCCATTCCTCCACAGCCCTACTCCTTGCCTTCAACTGTCAACTTCAACTGATTCCTTCGGCTGGCTGCCAACTGTGCCTGAATCACAACACAGCCGAACAGAACATCTACAACTACCCGGCTGCAAAAGCTCCGTTTGCCTAGCCATCTCTTCGAAGAGCGCTGCCATCTCCCCGCCGTCCCCTCGAATCCACGCCGTGCCCTGCCCTCATCCTCTCGCTCCCATAGCGCTTACGCAGCAACAGCGATTTGTATCTCAGTCCACCTGCATGTTCACCATTCGATAACTACCCAGAGGGTGGTGTCTTTGTGCCCTATTCCGCTCCCCTTCTCGGTTAACATACGAATGGAACCTTTCCTCTCTTCCTGACGATACCACTTCCATTTTTCGTAACCCCCTCCCCGGCTGCTGCGACGACATAGATAGGTTTGACATCCTCTAGTTATCCAAATTCACAGACATCCAACTTATCCGTCCCCAATCTCCATTTCCTCGGCACCTTTCCACTACTGCAAATTAAAATATTATCCGTCGCAGTGGAACGGCCAGTGAACCTTTCGTGGCTGGCCAAAATCGGAGATATTATCGACCGTCTAATCAAATTCGCTTTTAACAAGGGGGTATATCAGACGAGTAATCGGAGTGGAGGCCAAGGAAAGCAACTATGGGATTTCTAGGGGTCTACACTGCGGTGTATGATTATACGCCGCAGGCGGAAAATGAGCTTGAAATACGTGAAGGGGATTTGTTATATGTAATGGACAAGAGCGCCGAGGACGATTGGTGGAAGACGAAAAAGAAGGCCGCAGCGGACGATGAGGAAGAACCAGTTGGATTGGTGCCAAATAATTATGTTGAGGAGGTAAATATATTGATCCTTATTTCACTTTGCCCGTTGATCTCTTGAGGCACATACAAATTTGGAAGGTGGGGGTGGGTTGAGCATCCCCCCTCCCTTACCGGGGTTTATATGTCCTACTTTATTGCGCATTCTAAAGCCAGCGTGTTGAACGAACTGACGGCGTTGCAATACAATAGGCGCAACCGATCAGCAAAGCAAAGGCTCTTTACGATTATACCCGCCAAACGGATGAAGAAGTGTCGTTCGCGGAGCACGCTGAGCTCACTGTCTACGACACATCGGACCCGGACTGGACCTTGGTGGGCGTTAACAATGATTTTGGCTTCGCGCCTGCCAATTATATTGAGATAACGGAGGATATTGCGGCCAACCGACCAACCCGGACAGCCCCTCCTTCACTTCCGGCGAGATCGGTTGAGACAGAGTCCGAGGGAGCATTAACACCAGCATCCCCCTCCAGCACGGATGCGAGTCCCGCGGCTGCATTAGCTGGAATCCTCCACAAAAGCCAGCCCTCGGTATCGTCGGAACAGCCTCGTCCTGTTCCCTCTCCTCCAGAAGCATCCTCCGCACGGCAACCAACCCGACAACCAACTTACACCCCAGAGGAATCAGACGGAGAAGATTCTACACCGCCACCAGCTCTTCCACGACGTCACCCGTCTCAGCAAATTACCCCATCCCCCAAGTTACCTTCCCCACGCGATACCTCTCCACCGCGGCCAAAACATGCTCCTCTTCGCGAGGAGGAACCCTATGGCGTCCAGCCGTCTCCACCTTACAGATCTAGAGAGTTCCGTGAGCAACGATCCGCGATTTCTCCATCCGGATACCATATTTATAATATTAGCGAAATGGTTTCCGTAATGGGGAAAAGAAAAAAGATGCCGACGATACTAGGGATCAATATGCACACGGGAACAATTTTTATTTCGCCAGAGAAGTCTGTTGATGGGCCACATCAGGAGTGGACGGCTGATAAACTTACTCACTATTCGATTGAAGGAAAGCACGTATTTCTGGATCTTATCCGGCCTAGCAAAAGTGTTGATTTTCATGCTGGCGCAAAGGATACCGCCAACGAGATTGTTTCCGCACTAGGCGAGATTGCTGGTGGATATAAGGCTGAAGGCCTTAGAGAAGTAATTGCGGCTGGTACTGGAGGCGCTCGGAAAAAGGGCCAGGTCTTGTATGATTTTATGGCTCAAGGAGACGATGAAGTCACCGTTGCCGTGGGTGACGAGGTTATTATCCTAGACGACAGCAAGTCAGACGAGTGGTGGATGGTTAGGCGCTTGAAAAACGGCAGGGAAGGGGTCGTTCCCAGCAGCTACGTGGAACTGACTGGAGTGATGACGGTAGACGAACCCAGCAGAAGGGGTACGAATGCGGGACTGTCCACAATTGAACAAAATAGGCTTGAGGAATCGCGGCTGACGAAGGAGACTGCACGGAAGTCAAAGAGCCATGGTTCCAGTGACTCGCGTGGCGGAGAGGTAGGCCCAGGCATAGAGCTTCCTGAGAGAGGTAGTAGTTTGTTTCCTAGAGAAAATAGTAACCATCGTTCACAGCGACAAAAGCGCGATAGCAGGTCAAAACCAAGTAAGTGATGCCGTGGTTTACCTCCTTCAAATCTTGCCCTCGGTTTGAAATTGTGTTAAGAAAGATGCTAACAAAATGCTGTAGAACCGGATCCCTTGAAAACACGAAAGTGGACCGACAGGACTGGAACCTTTACTGTTGTAGCCGAATTCATCGGGCTTGCCGAGGGTAAAATTCATCTTCATAAGCAGAATGGAGTGAAAATTGCCGTCCCCGTATCGAAAATGTCTGTCGATGACCTCGAATACGTTGAGACGGTTACTGGCCAATCTCTCGACGAAGACAAACCACTTTCCCACATCCGACGTCGAAGCCGCCTTAACGACGCTGGGAAAGTCGGTGCAAGCGTAAAATCAAATGAGTATGACTGGTTTGACTTTTTCCTCAAGGCTGGTGTCGGGCCTCACTTGTGCGAACGTTACGCCCAGAACTTTAACAAGGATTCTATGGATGAGAGCGTTTTGCCGGATATCACTACAGAAACACTACGTACCCTAGGTTTGAAGGAGGGAGATATTTTGCGCGTTATGAAATATCTCGATAATCAGTTTAATCGTACTGGCAAATCTAAAATGGTCAGCTTCGGTGGGGAAGAAGTGATTGGTAACGGCCAAGACGGAGCTGGTGGGCTGTTTTCAGGTCCTGGAGGAGCTCTCCGCAACAATACCCGCAAGGGTCGTCCGGCTCCCGCCGTCCAGACTAGCGACGTAGTGGATCCGAAGGCTTTTGAAGGTAAAACTGATTCGGCCAAACCTAGTTCACCGAAAGCTGCCCCTGAATCTACTGGCCCTGAGAAAGATAAAGTTTCGCAAGGATTTGAAGATAGCGCGTGGGAAGTTAAGCATCCTCAACAGACTGCTGTCTCGATTGCCCCATCAACTACCCCAGCTCCCGCAGCTACCACACAGACAGCGCCGGCGACACAGCCAGAACCTGCACCTCCTGTAGGAGCGTTGGCAGACTTGTCCCTCCTCTCAACTCCTCTCCAACCAACTAAGGTTCAACACCCACCTTCTCTGCCTCAGCCTGCGCAACCCCCTATTTCTCAACCCCCACCGCAAATTCAGCAGCCGCAGCAAACTGGAGCAAATCCGTCTTTCTTTGCCCAGCTGGGCCAGCACCAACAGCAACAACCTCAAGCAACTTTCCAACCCCAGGTGACTGGATACGTTTCACAGCTACAACCAATGCCCCCAAGACAGCGACCACAGCCACCGGCAATGTCGACTCAAGGATCTCTTCTTCCACCCCCACCAGATCGACCCCTATCAGCACCCCAACGCCTCCCGCAAAACAGCGGTTTTGGTCCTCCTCCTATACAACCCCAACTCACTGGCCTCCCGCCTTCGACGCCTAACATTGCTCCACCTGGCCACAGCCTTGCAGAGCTTAATCAGCAGCGGTTCCAGCCACAATTCAACCAGCAACCACAACCACAGCAAACCGGCATGGGCTCATTTGGAAACCAGATGTCACCACCACTACCACAACAACAACAGCACTATGGGTTCCAGTCTCCACAATCATTCATGAACGGGCCGCAGCAGACCATGGACCAGCAACAAGGATTCCAACAGCCACTAATGCCGCAGCAAACTGGGTTCCCGGGTTTCCAACCGCAACAGCAGCAGCCCATGCAACCTATGCAACCCATGCAGCCCATGCAGACTGGTGTCAATTCGGCTCTTCCCCAGTCAATGCACCCGCAGCGCACTGGTGTGAATGGATTTGGAGGCGATACCAGCTTTACCCCTTCCCCGCCCCCTATTCCGCCGATCCCGCAGCAGCCTAGTATTGCTCCGCTACAGCCACAGAAAACAGGGCCTCCGCCTCCCGTTCGTTTCGGCGTGCAAAAGGATGTGAAGCTCACGCCGCAACAAACCGGGCTCAAGGCAAATCTCTCACAGGCCAGTAAGTTGAAACTTCCCTTTAATCTGTTGTATCCTACATACAATTATCTGGCATAGCTCATAACGATCTTGTACTGATTTATAATTTCACTTTCCACTAGCACCATCCAACCCATTTGGATTTTAAACCTCCTAATATATCTCCTCTATATATAATAATGTTTTTTTAATTTTCTATAAATCATCTTCACTTCGTCTCACGACAACATGTCTACTCCGAAGAAAACGAATTCCAGTGAGTGATCTTATCGTCGCGAATCTCGGAAACAGCCATCCAATCATCACAGTCGGCTCAACCTTTAACCATCGCCATCCAGCGTTTCCATCCATTAGGTAACCCCTTTCTAGCATCATCCTTGCACAAAGTAAATGAGTTTGCCAGCTAGAATGCCTTCCTGCCCTCTATCTTTCATATGTTTCATATTCGTTCTCGCTGAATTCCCAGAAAGAAATCTTGTGTATTTTGGCACATGTTTCGCATTGGAATGTTTTCCTTCCCTTCTAATCCTATCTTCCTAGTTCCTGATTTCCTTACACTACATCATTTTCATTATTACATTATATTTACGTCTTGTCTCTCTGTTGTTGAAATTCCTTCCCTGTCTTCCATTCCTCTCACTTCCGTTCTTGCATGCCAATTCCGTTTCTGTTTTATGGCCTCGTGTGTTTTGAACAAATCAGTGCTATTACTTTCTTCATTTTCCCCTGTCATTTAATTTTATCTATCTGAGCCAGTTTTTCTATCTTTCGCTCACAGCGTCCTCTTTCTTCCTCGCCCTTTTTTACAATTTTTTTGAGTAGGTAGCTAGCCTTTTAAGTGGAAAGATTTTTGCCAACGATTTTTTTCTTTTATTCCTTTTAAACTTTCCCTGAAGTCTGAGCTCCCTCTGATTTCGTGGTGCCTTGTCTTCCAGAGGGTGTTCTGCTACATGTTGCTGAGATTGCAAGTAAAAGCAATAAATCGTTCCGATCCTTGTTCTACGCCCGCTAGTGGCTAGTTTGTAGAATATTTATACTAAGATCTGGATCAGTTATATCCGCAGGGGGGTTGGACACTGCTCCTTTCTTGTTACCTCGACTGTTAGAAAACTAATAAAGCACAGCATACCTGATCATGATCTCCGGTTGACGTGGCATGGCAGAAATAAAGGAAGGTTACCAAGGTTGATGATATGTGTCAATTTAAGTAAATATGGACGGATAATTCACATAGGAATATAGAAAAATGAAGCATGAACTATAGATATATATATAGATCAACATCGTCGAAATCGGGCTAATGGAAATAGGGGTGAGAGCCCAGCCGACGTACTAGTATTGGTGACAAAAAAATAATGTTTGGAAAGGAGACAGACTTTCTTAAACCCACGGGGAGGAAAATACAAATTGAGACCAAGCCAAAAACGAGATATTAGAGTCCAGAAAGAAAGAAAAAAAAAGACAAAACGCCGACGCTGAAATGCTATATGCGTGATTAGATGAGTAGGGAAGATTTATATATATTAATCCGTAGGAGGGGGATGATAGTCGTAAATTCGTAAACAGGGTCAACAAAATGGAGTGGTTTTAAGGGGCTAAAAGTATGCGAGGAGTGAAAAATCACAAAAGGAAAAAAGGAAACAAGGAAACACAAAACGAAAATCCGAGAACTCCACCGGTCCCCTTTAGTTACCACCTCTCCCCTGTTTCTTTCGCAAAACGGTGAGATAGAAAAGTTTGGAGAAAAGAGTAAAACCAAAAAAGAAAAGGCAAATGCTAGAGCTATGAAAAACAAGAGGACCAAAAGGATTCATTTCACATCATCCGATACACCAAATCCGATGCCAATTCTCCCAACGCATCCAGTAGATCCCTGAAACCCATTTGCATCATATCCATCGATTCCATACTAGCTGCCTCGGGCGTCGGGGGTTGGTAGCTTGCCAGCTCCCTCACCTTACACGCAGCATAGTGCGTGACCAACTTCCGCAGCTCGTTCTGCCTGTGCGCGTTCGGATCCGGGCTCGTCAGCGAGAAGACCGGGTCATCGCGCTTGGTTCTCGTGAATGTAAAGTGCAGCAACTGGATAACGGCGGCGGCACTGGTTGGGGAGAGATGGTCTGCTGTTTTCGTGGAGAGCGGGAAGGAGACGAGGTCTCGATGGAGTTTTTTTAGGGTGAGTTGGGCGAGGGTTGGGATTAGGAAGCGCGTGGCGAAGACGTATAGTTTGGCGTGGAAGAGGAGGTAGGGGGCTGGTTCGTTGCCGGAGACTGCGATGCCGTAGCCGGGGGTGTTTCGAGAGAGGGGCGAGGGAAGGGCCATACCGCCCGACGTGCGCTGGTGGTGGATGTATTGTAAGGAAGCGAATTCGCCCCACAAGCCTAGGCCACGGGATTTAGGGGAGATGAAGGAGCCCTGAAAGGCTGGACCAAGTTTGGGCATTTCAGGTTTCGGGGTTGCTTCGAAGTCGAACCAGTCGGGGGCGGCGGAGACAGCTTCTGATGGAGGGATGTGAGGTGTTGCTGCTGCTATTTCTTCGGGGTTCGTGGGCTCTGCTTCTTCTGCTCCTGCTTCTCCTGCCTCTTGTTGCGCCAGCTCGTTTTCATCCTTTTGATCCCCCGTCATTTGGGGTGGTGTTCTTGGAGGCGTCATGTTAGCTGCTGCACCCTCTTCAAGGTCCTGAGCTGCTTTTCCTCCTTTTTGCTTTTTCTTCCCCTTCTTCCCCTTCTTCCCCTTGCCAGAGTCCCCTGCTTGATTCCCGTCTTCATCTTGTTCTTCTACCTTATCTCCTCCTGCTGCTGCAACGCCTTCTCCTTCCCCTCCTCCTGCCGCAATATCCTGCGGTTCTTCTCCTGGCTGGGGTGTGACGGGCGGAGATGGTGCCGGAGGTCGAATAGCAGAAGCTAATGGCGGTGCCATTCCCGCATTCCCTTGGCTATCCCTGCGTCCAATGGGGGTGACTCTCGGATTGGGCACTGTGTAGTCTCCCGTATAGGCATACTCGCAGAAACCGACGAAGGTCTCGACATCTTCTTCCTCTAGGACTGCGATCCGGTGCCGCGATTCGCGCGTGTGGCCATTGTTCATTAACTCATCGAGGCGTTGGGAGACATGTTTGGCAAGGCCAGACTGGATGGTGAGTTTTGTATGATCTGGCCCAACGAGGAATGTGAAGGAAGGCGAATGAACAATGCTGTTGTGTCCAATGATGGAGAAGAGTGATGCGTCAGCGGGAAGTCTGTCATTGCAGAGTGGATTTATATGTTAAAGCCCGCTTGAGCGCGTGTAGTTGAGCTAATGCCACAAAAAGTGCAGAATTGATCGGAAGGGGTGCTAGAGAGAGCCTTATCACGGTATAGGTGTGTGTGTATATGACCCTTTTTTCAACATACCTATGAAAGTCTGGTAAGGGAGCTGTCATCTTGACATCAAAAAGTAGTAAAATATGTCCTGGCAAAAAATCGCACGCAATATTGTCGTTCGTAAAATACAAACTCCCCTTTCCTTTTGCGCTGTCAGGAAAAGGTGGGAAAAAATAAAAATAAAAATAAAAACGAAGAGAATTTATGTGAAAAGAAATCACGATGAGCAAGCAAAGGCTTGAGAGCCTTTATCCTGCACTCGCTATCAATAAATATATACAGCGAAGCAACGTCGCCTCTCCTCTGGTCGGCCCAACAACAACCACGCCTGCTTCCATAAATAAGGGGACAGCAGGCGTGATGTTAATTATGCCCGGTTCCCCTCGACAGTCTCATCGCTAGTTCATCGAAACACCTGCAGTCATCGCATCAGAGACAACGTCACAGGCATCCACCACAGTGCGTACGGGGAAGGCGTTGATAGACAGAGCGGAACCCGCTTGTGAAGCAGGGCAACCAGTTAACTCGCTGTCGTGGCAGGCTATCAAGTAGCCCCATCTGCGATAACTTAACTAACTTACCACTAAAATGAATGGTGCTCGGGTTCCCTCTTTGAAACTCCCAGGGAAAAAGAGGATAAGGGCGCCTGAGACCCCATTTTTAAGCGGTCAAAAGCCGCTCCGTTAGGTACATAGTTCTGCGGAAATGCAGGGCTCGCATTTTTGTGTGTGTGCCCGGCTTGAGATATGTGTTCACGCCTTCTTTTTCAGATCATTCGGGGCACTCATGTTGGTGGTGATGGTGATGCTTGGTCCGCCTTTGCGCTCAGGGCTGCTCGGGTCGCCATTCTCTCTCGCAGGCCTGACCCTTCCCAGCGGTGCAATTTGCTGCTCCACGACGTCATGAATAAGCGGCCAGCCAGTCGCTTGATGGGAGCCAGTTCTACCGCTGTTGTTTGGATCTAGCTACGTGGCGCGTTCGGCAGGAAGAACGAACGAATCCTCAAACAGCAGCCGCACCAGCTAGCTTAGCCATATGTGGGCTAAATACTGCAGTTGTTCCTAGTTGTTAGTGTAGTTCGTTGCTAGTGGGAAATGAATGGATGTTTATTTGGCTGACCTTGTGTAGGGTGATTGGGCTGCGGCGCTACATTCTGGGGAGTGAAGTTGCATCCTGGTGCTGTTAGTTGTTGATTGATGCCCGATTGCTGTCCTGTGGATGGGAACAAAGTGGATGCCCCACTTGGTTATTTAGGCCGGGCTCATGTCCGCTAAGGACGGTGTGCTTTTAACCTGCTGGTAGGGTAGGGTAGATATGCCGGCTCTATTTGAGATTCATCTTACAAATAGAAGCCAACCCCCTCGTAGATATTTTAAATGCAGAGTGTTCCGTCTCATAATAGTTGGCTCTGATGTTTGTGTTCCTACATATAAGGAGCCACGCTGAGAAAAATGGATACTTCGAGATTAGCAGAAAAAGCAAAACCGACCCCGTCAAGCAGCTCGAGGACCAGTTTACGGATGGAGCGGTGAAGGGTTCCAGATCCAGCACTAGCCGGTGATATATCATATCATTCTCTTGCAAATATGTGAGGACTAGACATAGCTTGGTGGTTTGTTCTAACAAGTCTTCATGTCAAAAAGGGGATAACCGCCACCGATGAACAGAGCTGAAATCATCCCTCAGGTTCTATTCAAATGGTATATGCATTAACATGGTAGATAGTTATCAGAACAACAAAAAGAAATAGAAACAGGTTTCCCGTAATCTGACTAATGTATCAATCTCAGGTTCTTTCCAGGCTCCCAGTCCCGCAACCCGTCTCGAATGTTATACCAAAATCTCAATCTCACACACTGCTTTCTTGCCTCCTCAATATCACCTTGATTAAACGCATTCCCCAGGCTTGTAACACATCCCTTAATCCTCTCCTCATTCTCGTCCTTCAATCGCGCAACGATAATCTCATCCTGTGCCTCCTCAATGATCTCCTGGACTTCAAGCGTCTGCATCAACGTCTCCATATCTTGAGGGTGATCCTTGGCACCATCTTCCGCTGTCACGTCGATGCCGTGCTGAGAGGCGAGAAGATACTGGGCACGGCTCAATGGATCAGAAAGAGCACGGTATGCTTCATTGATGCGAGCGGAGAGTGCTTCTGCACTCTGTTTCTTTGGGCCTGGCGGATACTTATCAGGATGTGCGCGGCCTTGAAGGCGCAGAAATTCCTGTCGGAGGTCGGGAACGGAGATGTCGAAGGGGCCCTTGGGTGGTGGGTTGGGAATGGTGTTGGGGAAGATGGAGTAGTGGGTAGAGATATCTGGGGGTTTGTTGATCAGAGAGTCAGCTTCACCTGTCGAGTTTTTCTCGGCATTCTGGGACGTAGGTGGCTCGGATATAGCGGAGGTGTTCGGGGGCGGATTGGACGCTGGGTTCGCATTGGCACCGGCTAATAGTCTGCGAGAGTCATGGAAATTCCGAATCGCGAGGGACGGTCGCCATGTCTTATGCTGACAGAATATGCATATATTGTTTCTGGCAGCTGGAAAAGAAGTATTGCGCGTTACAGAACGTGCTGGAGATGCCCCTATTCGCCGAAGGGCGGCGGCGGAGGAGAGGAGCGTCCTCGGCATATTCGCCCGACCCAGCAAGTGGCTGGTGGATAAACAGAGGGAGCTGACTGCCAATCTCTCGATCTCCTGTAGCAGCTCACTAAATTCCAGTGTGTCCTGTTCAAGTTTCTAACAGAGCAAACGGTTTGCGAAATCAACCCAGGAGATATGGGTTGGCGGAGTTGTGAGAATAGAGTCGCGGAGTTCCGTCACTTCTCCGCAAAATTTATTTATTTTATAACTAGAGGCCGCTTTAGTTACATAATCAGCGCCAAGACCCCCGCCCATCTCTCCGGCTAACAATGCCGACGACAACCAGTTATATACAATTATTCTTGTGTCCTTGCATCCTCTAACTTGATTCGCATTACGCTGCGTAGGTTTGACACCGGAGAGAAAGAAAATGGCTGAGAATGTGCCTTGCTTTCTGAAATAAAGCATCCGCCGACTCCGTTCCGACTTCCGTGAGGCTGTCAGAGAGTTCAATGACCCTGCATTTATCATACCGTTAGGGGCAGGTTCTCTCGGACGAACATCGACGAGGGTGTCTGATCATATATCGAGCCCACCTCACTACTTGCTGATCCTAGCATTATATTGAGTAGTGGTTCTCGGCTCTCAAACTCGTCTCACCGTTAGTTGCCCATCGCGCAAAGCGCGCGTCATGGCCTCTGTGTGACGACTCCAAACCCAAGATATACCACCCATTCCATCGGAGCCTCACTTTGTTGTTGGCGTCTTAGCTCAGTAACTTCACGAGCTGATATGTCTGGAGAAGAAAAGGAGAACGATAGCTCTAAGCCCGCTGGTCTAATAACTTATCATGCCGAAGATCTATCAACAAGATCTGTATGCTACGCTCCCGCTGATTGGTATTTAGCAGACTGGCAGAACGATGGACCCAAGAAGGGGTGGTACTTCGTCTACGGCGTTGTTGCCGACGAATATAAACTTGCAGCGGTCATAGGCGATGAAGAAACCCCCGTTCTTCACAGAGCCAAAGTTCTAGGATACAAGCTCATGTTGTGGGAGGCGCATCTTGCACTGACGGACGGATGCTCAACCGCAGAGGTACAAGGAAAGGCGTTCTATGTTGAATCGCCGTTACATGCTCGGAGACTACGGGGATACATGGTGGAAGTTTTGAAGGTGGAGCCATGTCGAATACACCTGGAGGATGCCGATGAAGGGGTAGTTGATGGCTACGCTTTTATATGGGACGGGCCGATGAATGGGCTCAGGAGTATCCCGGCGAACTAAGATGGTTCTGGGGTATGAATTTACAGGGATATACGGGAATAACTACTGAATCCTCTGGTGTTGCGTAAATGAGCTGTCCCGTTCAGCATGTTTCAGGCATGACAGTGGGAGTGTTTCATTTTGGGGTCGGTCCATTCTGCTGTGTTTGGCTTCGAGGACCATTTAGTGAATAAATAGGGTATAAATAAATCCGTAGAATTGTGGTCTTTGACTCGTTGTCTCTTTCTTTCTATCTCCTTGCCCTGTGTGGGAATGTAACAAGAGAAACACCCCTCTAAATACAAATACTAGTAATACCTAAGGAAACGCAAAATTACCTTGGTCTGATACGTCCCATTACAAGCAAAAGGGGCGAGACCTTGAAATATACGCATAGTAGACCAATAACGAACGATCGATACCATAAATACCCAGCGCCCGCCGCCAGAACTGCCCGCATCATCCTGGCCCGCAGACTCCCCCCTCGCCCACCACTGCCGCTTCGTCGTCCAGCTTCGAGATGCGGGCAGGGAAATTCAGAGCAGCAATCGACAGGGCAAAGGCTGTATATCTCAAGAAAAACCATTGGTATGTAACACTCCGACAAAGGACTCTAAGAAATTGCATATATCAAAAATCCTCCGTTCCAATGAGATAGAACTAGCTTGAGAAACGAATCTTACGTTCACATATTTATTATTCGTGTAGGTAGGTATTGAGCTCACTGACCAAAAAGTTTGCTTGTCGTAGTGACGATGATATTCCGCCCGTCGTCACCTCGTCGTGCTGGGACCGGCTCCCAGTTGAGATCCTGATCAGCATCTTCGGCCGTTGTCGATTGCAGGATGTGGTTAATTTGAGACTGGCCTCCCGAGCCTTCAACACCCTCATAGATGCCCACGAACAGGCCATATCGCGGGAATACCTACGATTGCGGAGGCATGGGAGTTTGCCATCGCCGATCAACGAATTAAAAGAATATACAAGAGAGCCGGAGGATGATGTGATTCTTCTTTCGGATCTGTTCCCGCCACCGAAGATTGAAAATCGCACCCAATATGCGTATTCGTTTAGGTACCTGTGGAGCTTGCGGAGGAGGCAGGAGGTGTGTTCGAAACTAGCACACTATCTCGCAGAGAGTGTGTTGGATAGATACTTGCGGGATCCTACTCATAAAGCAGCATTTACCTCCAAGAAAGACCTTCAGGTTTGCCATGAAGGCGGCACAGCGCAGTTGCAATTCAAGCTTACGCCCCTCATGTGAGTTATATAAAACACTCGATGATTTGCTCCCCCTCGTCATTACCCACCTGCCTCATTTTTTCACTATACTATTGTTGTAACTACATAACTAATAACAACTCCCCAAGGTTTTACACTCTCTTCTTCCTCGAAACTTACGCGCAGGCCCGCTACGAACTCCAATCCAAGCTCTATGCCACATATAAGGCCGGCCGACTCCCCGTCGCTATCCAGCCCATTGACCGCACTCTAATGTTCCGCAAACTTCAAGCCAAAATCGTCAGTAGCCCTCCATTCACCAACACCCCGACCCTCGTGTCCACCCACCATTGCATCCGCCTCCTTGTCACCTACCTCCGATTCGCCCTTTCCCCCGAGCCGCCCTTTCACATGCCCTGCGATCCGTGGATCAGCATGCTGCTCACCACTTCCGGCCTGGGCCGCATTGCCGAATTCTTCGCCGCTGAGAAGGGACGGGGCAATAACCAGCGCAGCATGCGGAAGGAGTTCATGCGGAATATGCAGGCGGATTGGGATGCCAGTAGGAACGATGAGCAGGCGTCTAAGGTATATGGGAGTGGGGAGGAAAGTAGGAGTCCGCCCAGTGTGCAGGAGATTTGGTTTGAGGCGGCGACGAATGAAATGAAGAACCGCGGGGTTCTGCCGCATAAGACAGAGGATTGGGTGTTGGTCAGGGAAGGGATGAAGATTAGTATTGGGTGTCAAAACTGTATAGGGGAGGAAGGGTGGCCAGCATGATTATTGCACTGTTTCCTTGCCTTGGTTCTTCTTATTTCTTTCACATTTTGAATCGGTCGCTTGGGAGTATGAGTAGATGGTTCCTTTTTTCTTTGCTATACAATGCGCCTATCGCCCGGGGCAAAACGTGTTCATGATCATGATATATGAATAATATTTAGGTTTAACTAGGCGTTAGCTAACTAGTTGGGTTTTGTTCCTTTTCATATGATCTGATATGTCATTCATTGATGGTGGTGTCAACGTTGAGACCGGTCGTTCAATGCTCTGAGCCTTAAATACCCCTGGTTTCCATCCTGATTTTGACAACTTCTCAATATTCTTTGAACCTGTTCCTGCTGCTACTCAGAAATTCTATCCCACTAGTGATCAACCGGTAGAGCTACCGTTACCACATTCTTCTTGCTACACGTCGAACCATTGCTTACATCCTTCACCGGTCTAAATTCTGTTTTTCTGTTTTTCTCCCCTTACGCTGTAAATGATTAAATATTAACAAAAAGGTAGACAATCCATGATCATCGCAGGCATTCAATAAAATAGTGATTGGCCGCACACACCAGACCCGAGCAACCGTTATCACCCATCCATGGATCCAACATGAGCCCTATACTGTCCTAGTCAATCCTTCCGGCCAAGCGAACATCCACCAAGCTTGTCCCCCCCCAACGGCGGCACAGCCCCCCATGAGGCTATTATACCGCAGTAGTTATATACCAGCAGCTGTTTTCCGAGTCACGGGGTTTGCGTCTGCTTAAATATTTACTGCCCAGTCGAGTTACAGGGTAAGATAGCTAGCATCATCGGATTGCGGCTTTATCAACCTGGCATTCGGGAGATATCACCTATGACGTCACCGACATTGCTGAGGCAGACTCAGGCAGACTCCGTGAGATTCTTGATACATCAAATAACTTTCAGGAGTTTCGAACCGAGCGCCAAGTGCTAATTATTGGGTTTGGTTGGTTATACGAAGACGCGAGGAGCACGATATATATATATCACTCCTTTATTTACGGGACTTGAATGCTCTCTCTTGCATCCAACATCCTTCTTCTCAGCTGCAGCGATATAAAACCCCAGCGGAGCCTATATGGGCAGTTTTAGTTATTGTCAGGCTGTCTTGATATACCTCTCAAACCGTCCTCGATAGATACGGCCAGCTCCACGATTGGAACTTGGGGATACTCGCAAAGCCTTGTCATTCGAGGCTTCTTAAACTACTAATTAATAAAGCTCCCCTGGAAATCATTATAAACATACATTGGGGAAACCGCAAGTTGAACACCCAGGCTTGCTCATTTCCTTGGTCGAGCGTGATTAGCAAAATATATTAGCTCCCGCGGGAATTTCGACTTAAATATCGAACAATTCTCACCAAGGAACGCTGCCAAAGTCAGTCAAAAACTATGCCCGCACTCCGTATTGTGCTTGACAGCGCCCCAGCTGTGTGGTCCCCCGGCTGCATTATTCAGGGAAAAGTCGTTCTAGATTCGTCGGAGGATGAAGCGGTATCAAAAATCACCATTCGGTTCTCTGGAAAGGAAAAGACCCTGAAGAAATCAGGGCAGAATTCCCAATACTTTAGCCAGGTCCAGTTCTTTTCCTACGCTCAGCAATTGTTCCGTAGCAATTACACCCTTTCCACCTCCAAAAAGTTTGAATGGCCGTTCCAGTTTGTCTTCCCACACAAGATGGAAATGACGAAGGATAATTTCTTCCGGGGTCCCAATGATCACTCTCTTCCTCCAACGTTTTACTACGAAACCCCGTTTTTCGCCTCATACACAGTAGATTGCCGAATACAATACAAGCTGTCTGCAGAGCTCGAGCGCCCTTCGTCATTCAGTTTGGTATCGGGATACCTTTCCGCAGAAAGGCGGTTACCCTTCATACCCCATCGATCAGAACAGTCACCAGCGGTAACGGTCCTATCCATCCCATTTCCCTGGAAAGTCTACAGCAAAAAGATCCTCCCAGAATTCGAAAACTACGAACCAACCATGAAAGAAAAAGTAGCCACCGCCTTCACCTCTCGAACCAAACTCCCCAGCTCAGCCTTCAAAATCTACACCCGCTTACCCAGCAAGGCAATCCTGGGCCAAACAATCCCCATCCTGCTCAGCGCAACCCACCTCCCAGACGAATCCACCACCAAAATCGTCCCCATCATCCGCCTCCGCAGTCTCAGACTAACCATCGAAATCCGCACAGCAATCTGTGCCTACTCGACCTTCAGCCGAACCGACGACGAGAGAGTGGACCAGACAACCGTCGTCGACCGCTCGAATCTTGACATCCCCCTGGAACCCCAGCCGTGCAACGTGTCCCAGCTTCTAAACATCATCTGCACACCGTCACTCCCGCCCAGCTTTGTGAGCAATATCGTTAGGCGTAGGTATGGTTTGGATTTGAAGATCATAGTGGAATGCGCTGGTTGCACGAAGACGATCCGGGCAAGCAGGCCGTCGTTTGAGGTTTTGTCATCGTCCTATTTGCAGTTACCCCTTGGCCCACCACCGTCGCTACCGTTGTTGTTTTCAGAGGTGGAGGCGGCAGCGGAGAGGGATGGGGTGGAGTTGCCGGCTTATAGACCTTGAGATCATTGAGTGAACATTGAACATTGAGGGTTTTGCTTACTTTGCCATTTTACTTTATTTTATATATACTTTTTTTTTTTTTTTTTTTTTTTTTTTTTTTTTTTTTTTTTTTTTTTTGAAGTCGACATTTTTGCTTTTGGTTTATTTTCTTGCACATATTCCAATTCCAACTAACGATGACGAACGATGTTAAGCTTAATGATTGCATTTGGCTAGGCGTATGGTTTGACTGCTATTGTTTGATTTTACATGTTATGATCTTTTTTTTATCTGGATACCCTCACTACGCTGTATACTCCGTATCGCGTTGCCTTTGTGGACACGAGTTACTCAACCCAAAAATTGCACTAAATGGCTTTGTTTCAAGGCCAATTTTTGTACATATGCTGTACATACGAACGCAAGAAACCAGGGTACTTTCCAAATAATTTCATATTGTCATGAACTAGCTAGCTCATTATGTGCAGTTTCTACGCAATCATAAACTATAACTATAGGGGGCTCGTTTTTCCTCGTTTGTTTCAGCACTCATCGATTTCGACCGTAGTATATCCCAGGTGATGTTTTCCTAGCCTAGAAATCTCAAGTATACAGAGCTATGGACTGTGTAATTGTTGAGATGGGTCAAAGGGTTCAGAGTCGCCGCCTATCGTCTTCGCTTTGCTTTTCCCGTGCGCAACCACCCCGTCCGTGACCTTTGATACCTCTCTGGTAGGTACGCGTGACGGTCACATGTGTCGACGAACCGCCTGCATTATGCGTCCAATAATAGTAAACAATGACCAAACATTGAACAGATCCATCGACGATTAAGGACCGGATGACTGGGTCCCTTGTAGTTGCGCGGGTTGAAATGGCTGTCGTGCAGGATGCGGAGTATTATCCCCCCCAACTCACTGGTACGGGATTGTATGAGTAGGATTCAAGGATGACTTGACTTAAGGTCAGTTCATTTCTGAGATCATCGTAAACTGGTAATCATCCATCAATGCCCCAGAGTTTCACCGTGCGATCGTGGCCGCAGCTTGCAATCCATTTCACATCATCGCTGATATCGACGCTAAGAACATTTCCAGAATGCCCGCTCAGGGACTTGACGAGTGACCAGTCATCCGCGCTGAACACGTTGACGTTCTTATCAAAGCCACTGGATACGAAGAACGTGCCAGATTTCTTTGGCTGTACTGGCTGCGAGGGTGGCGGCGGTGGTGATTGGCCATCTACTGGCGTGGAAGGGGTAGCCGGACTGTCGATTGCAACGGCATTCTTGTCTTGTAGTGGAACGGATGGGAGATGTGAAGCTGCTGATTCAGTTCCTTTATACCACCTGAGGTCCGAGACGACGCCGCGATGGGCCCCTACCCCGCCCGTGCAACGCACCTGTCTGATGTCCCAGCATTTGACCCAACCGTCACCTGAGCCAGAGAGCATACGATATCCGTCCGCACCCCAATCTAGACCGAATATTTCTCGGATATGCCCTTCCAGAATCATCACTGTTCGACCGGTACGTAAGTCCCAGATACGTCCATAACTATCCAGACCACCGCTGGCAAGCAGGGAGCCATCGGGATTAAATGCTAACGAGTAAACTTCTCGAGAGTGCCCTTCTTGCAGGAGAAGTTCTGTACTGGTTGCAACGTCCCAAAGTCGCCAAGTTGTATCGTAGGAAGCAGACGCAAGGTAGTCTCCCGAAGGATGAAATTCTACACGACAGACGCGTCCTGAGTGACCTGATAATGTCGTTAATGGGGTATCTTGAGTGAGAGACCAAAGATTGACGTTCCCTTCGCCTCCTCCAGATGCCATGTTAACAGAGGACTCCGATACATTAGATTCTGCTCTCGTGGCGCCTGGAAACCATGAAATTCCTCCAACTCGATCTGTATGGCCCCGCAATGTGGTCCTTTCTTCCAAATTTGGCACATTGAGAAGTTTGATTCCTCCTCCCCAGTTTCCTGCAGCTAGGATTTGGCCGTTTGGCGCAAAACGAGTAATGCTGACTGGACGCTCGCCCGCGATTTGAGACCCGTAAAGATCGAAGCTCTGTAACTTCTCTTTAATCGCTTTGCGATGCTTGATATGTGTCCGTAGTGGGATAGTGGATTCTTCCTTTTGCCGCTCAACTCTAGCTTTTGCCCGTGGTAGCGAATATCTAGCAATGTTCTGCCGCGCCTGGAGTAATTCTGGCACGCCCTCAGTATAAAATTCCTCCTCGCCTTCCTCCTCTTCCTCTTCGTCCTCCCCTCCCTCTTTCATAGATACATCCTCCCCTTCTTCGCCAGCAGTAGCTCCGGCAGCCTCCTTCTGCTCCTCAAGATCCGTTAATAGCTCACGTAAGCGGTCTCGTCTATCTGCTGCATCTTCGCCGAAGAGGGTGATGGGATGTCCAAGTTCGCGTAATCTGGCACGAACTCGGCTATCTTCGGTGGGAACTGCAATTGCAGCAGCTCTCCTGCGGCGGGAAAATTGCGAAAGGATAGCAGACGCTCTCTCGGGGGGAATGCCCGCAGCGGTAGCGGGCATATCATAGTCTCGATCCACAGCTAAGTTTCCGGAAAACAGTATATTAGTTCAATGTTGGTCACGAATCGGGAAGATAAAAGGAGGTACGGTATAATTGCTTTTCATTACTTACGGATATTATTTAGGTCAATCCCCATCTTCGTATCCTATGATTCAACAGACATGGCGCTGATAAGCTAGGGTAAGGAATGGGAAGAGCTGGACGGGCAGATCTTTTGTTCACAGGGATTCTTCTGGGAATATTTCCCTGCAGAATAGGAGGGGATATAAAAATAACAAAGTGTGGAACAATGGACCGGGTTCAGTATACCTCTGGGGCATCCTCGACGTATGCTCGCCGAGCGGGATGCATCTTGGAGTAACGGTTCCCGCAGAGGGGAGGGGTTAAAATTAAGGCTAGCTGGATTAAAAGCGTAGGTCGAAGGTGTGAGGCCGTCAGTATACGTAGCGAGTGTGTCTTCCCTACAAGAATGCTATCATGGCGGGATGGAGTTGGACGTTGAGCAGTTGCATGTCAGTAGGCACATATTCTTAAGAGGGAAGCTTCAACGGAGCCTCAAACACGTGACATCACCGCCAACTACCTAGATTTTGTAGGTTGTATTGATAGATCTATCTACAGGAACATAATATAGTGGTGGGTCACGTGATCTAGTGGAATCGCTAACCGCAACAGCTGTAAGGGCCAACACCCCCCCTCGAGATAACAAGAATCACATACAAAAACACTCAAACCACCAAGATAGTCTGTCAAAACCAAATACAAATGTAAAATTAAACATTCTCAACTTTTGTACCTGTAAGATCTAGCAAAATCATGAATTATATAAATATCACAGTGTCTAGAAGTTTAGTGAGTTCATTTATTATCATCTAAGTAGTGAGAATGTATTCTAAATCAATAACTCTCTGATTCAACTGTCAATATAAAAAATGAAAACATGTATCAATATGCTTGCTTCAGACTGTAATGACTGTCATCTTTATGAGATCTATGACACTTTTATTATCAGTGAGAATCTGTATCAGAGATATAGTAATAAAGTCAAGCTTAATTATAAGATTCTGAATTTATATTACTTCACAGACTGCCTCACTAAGAGTCATATATTCAGTCTTATTAAAACTTAGAGATATATAAGATTATTTCACTGAATATTATAAAATCAGATCATCTGTAAGCTTAAAAACATAGCTGAATGTTAATTTTCTATTATTATTCAAGAGACTGACTCAATCAGAATTCGAGTAGTTGAAGAGTAGGTAGAAATCATCAGAGAAATTGAGAATAATAAAAAGATCAGTAGAAATGAATCTCTCATACAGACTGTATCTGTAGAAAATACTCAGATTCATAATCTCTTTCAAATAATGTATAATATGTAATAGAGTTTTTCAATATTAAGATGTAGAATTAACATTTCATTGAGTGAGTAGTAAGATAGTATAAGTAATATCAGAATGTGTTTTAACTGCAAGATATTACAAGTAACTTATATTATATTAATATCACTGAATTATGAAATCAGTCTCTTTCTCAGATATAGAGAAATTATTAATACAGAATTCATTCTTTATTAATATTCTGATAACAGCTATATCATTAAAATAGAAATCTTTAACAAGATATTTAATATATTGATAATGTATTAAATCAATTCTCTTATTTAAATAATTGATTTTTATACTCAAATACTTGATTAACTGATATAGATTCTTGACTTTCAATTTCTCACTGAGTATACTCACTAGTCAATCAGCATTCTCAGAAGCTTCAGATATAATATTGAGATTATCAATATAGATTATTATATAGAGATAATATCTGAATATATAATATCAGAGTGTTGAATTATAAGTACTGACTATAAATTCAAGATCACTTAACAGAGCTGTTAAGTAATTATATCAGATCTTCATCACAGAGTTCAGACTGTATAGACTACTCTCAATTACATAGATAAGTGTTTTCAGTGAATCTGTCTTAAATTCAGTAAGTTATCTTATATAGATCTTCTTAATAAGATACTTATAAAAATATATCATTACTATATTCACTTAACAGAGTATTCAATCATGTAGTACTGCTATTGTAAAAAGAATATAATTAACAGTATCAGTGATGACAGAAGTGTAGATCTCTTCTCTAGAATTCTTCTTAAGTCAGTTATTATAAATCACTTAATATAATTTTCTAAGAATATCATCAGAATCAGTATTCAGATCTGTGAGTCTATCTTTCTTAAGAAACACTTAACAGTCTGAAGTAATTGATTCACTTCTCAGAATATCAGATCTAGAGATTAAACTTTATATATTATATCTCTTCAGATCAGTAATCTCATGTTATATAAACTTCTTTTAATAATCTTCTATTTTCTCTGACTGAGATATGGCATTCTTGTAGAACTTCAGAAGATTACTCATAATAAGACTCAGAGTATATATAGTCAGTGATTTCACAGGCTGTAATCATGTAAAATTCAGATCATCAATGTTAGAAGCATCTTCATTATCAATCAGATAAATATCAGATTTCAGTTCATCAGTGTCACGCTCCCGGCCGCGTCAAGACTCTGTTGTGATTTCACACGGCTCATTGCTTTCATGCAGATGATTTCATCCTGTCTGAACCAGTTTTCAATCACTCTATGATATTATTCAGATGTATCATAGAAAGATCTGATTGATGAATATGAGAACTTCACTTTTATACAAGGTCAGCAGATTACTCTTTCTTGATAATAAGACACTGCTGAGGTATCACTTCAGCTATTCTTGCTTATGAAATGAGAGAAGAGTATCTGTTCATTATCTATATAGAATAGCTAGATGCTGACTTCTTATTAAAGAAGTCAGTGATTTGTTTTTCTTCTACTGAAATATATATAAGAGTTACTGCATGTCTCATACAATCTTCTTAGTATACTAAGTATCATATCTGTGATATTCTCATAATAATCTTGTAGTCTACAAGCTCACTATTTAAGCAAGATAGTCAAGCTCACTTATACAGCTTCTTAAATAACTACTTCTATATAATACTACTGACTAGTCACTGCTTTGATTTCATTATATTACAATTCAAATCACTCAATCTGATTATACATTTGAATCAGTCAAGCTCTAACAGACTGATATGACCTCATGTATCTGTGCTGAGATCAACTCAATCTCACTCTCTGAAGAAAATACTACATTATTCTCTAGAGTGTATACATCTTTACTCTGACAGAAATCTGAGATTTCTGAACTCACTGCATATTTTAATATAAGCTCTTCAACTGCTCTATTATCACTGCAGCCTCTACACATCTACATCTATTATAAAGATAGAGAGATTAAGATCAGAGATTTTCTGAGATATAAGAGAAACATCTTATCTGAATTTCACAGCTTTATCTGTACTCTTGAATGAAAATTCTGCCTTAATCTGAGCCAGTATAATACTCATGAGATATAAGTAATATACACTGTTAACCTTCTTGAAGACATCTCTGCAACTACTTGAGTTATTAAGAAGAGAGAGCTTGAGTGTATTAATACTGTTATGACTTGAGAAGAATTCAAGAACTTTCTACTGAATTAAATCAAAGATCATTATAATTACAGCTTCACAGTAGTGCAGTGATTCAACTTATTATATCAATAAGATAATGAGAATTCTTTCAATTTCAATACAAGATTTGAAGAATATTGAGAGGAACTGACTGATAATTTGAATCAATTAAAAATGCAGCTTTATCTCATGAAGCTGACTTACAAGATGTGAACAATGATATTATAATATCAGAGTTTATCAATTAATTGCACTGAGCTTGTCAATCTGGCTTCTCAGATCTATTTAAATAATCAATTCTCTGAGAAAAAGATTAATAAGATCTCTTCTAAGTAATCAATGATAGAATTTAAATAGCATCATGACAGCTTCAGTGTGAAGAAAGTAAAGAAGAATTTCAAGTGTTCTGATTCTTCACTCACTGTAAAGAAATATTAAAAAAGATTTGATAAAGATCTCTGTTTCAACTGCAGAGCTGGTGATTACTATATCAGTGATTGTAAGAAGCTGAAGAAGAGAAGAAACTGAGAAGATATCTTCTTAAAGTTAACTTCTCTTCTGACAAATGTATCTGTAGAAGATAAAGAAGAGAAAGATAAGAATTGACAATTCTCATATCTTTGAGTTCATGTTATAATCACAATGCATACTCTGAATGAGAAGATATCAGTAAGATGTCTACTTGACTCTGAGATAGATATTAACTTTATATTCTATTTCTTTTCTTTGATGAAGAGTTGAAAGAAGATAGGTTCATCAGATCATATAAAATTTACAGATGAAATAAAATATCACTATTTTAACATAATTCAAGCAAAGTATGTGATCACAGACTCAGAAGAAATCTTCAAGAAGAGCAGTCTGCTTCTTCACACAGTTAATATCATAGATGAGAATGTCATTCTAGGTCTCTTATAATTGAGAGAAAACAATTCTCTCATTGACTGAGTTACTCAGGTGTGGCAGTATCACCTCACTGATGAAGAGACAGTAATAGAGAAATCTGAAGAGTTTCATTAGAAGAATCTTGAGAAAAAGATTGAGTTGATATACTGCATAGCAGATAATTGAGACTTGAAAACAGATGAAGAAGTTATCACTCTCACTGCAAGATTAGCAGCAGTATCTGTCATTGAAGATGAATATACATGATATCTCTTTACAGATTTTAAGAATGTCTTTTCAGAAAGAGAAGTAGTGAAGTTTTCTGATATCAAGATATAATATAAGATTCATCTTGAAGATGATGTAATGACATTGTACAGGCCTCTTTATAACTTATCTATAAAGAAGTTGAATGTTCTGTGCAAATATCTTGAAGAAGTACAATCAAAGAACTGAATATGTTCATCAAAGAGTTCAGCAGAGACATCTATACTCTTTGTGCTCAAGAAGAATGATAGACTATATCTATGTATAGACTACAGAGGCCTCAATAAGATGACAGTTAAAAATTGCTATTTATTATCATTAATTAATGAGATGATTAATCAATTATCTGAAGCAAAGATGTTCTTGAAGATTGATATATAAGATGTCTATCATAGAATCAGAGTTAATGAAGACAATGTTTGAAAAACAGCTTTTCATACTAAGTACAGCAATTTTGAATATCTTGTTTTATCTTTTGATCTTTGTAACACTTCAGTCATCTTTCAGATCTATATAAATGAGACACTGCAGAGTCTTGTTAATATCTTCTGTATAGTATACTTGAATGACATTCTAATCTTCTCAAAAATGAAGAAAGAACACAATATCCATGTTCAAGAAGTATTGAGTCACTTGAGACAGTATTAACTCTATATAAACACTGAAAAATGCTCATTCTACATACAGGAGATTGATTTCTTAGATTATATTATTGAGATGAATAGCATTTCAATGAACAGAAGCCAGGTCTCTGTCATTGAGAACTGACCGGTGTCATGAACATACTGCGAGATGCAGGTGTTTCTAGAATTTGTGAATTTCTACAGATGATTCATCTATACA